ACAGACTCGGCCATGGAGCAAAATGACAGATTTTGGTCTATAGTAATCCCAAGATACTTGATAGATGAAGTTGATTCAATGGATGTACCAGAACAGGTTATATGCAGGTTAGATTGTGACCTAAGCTTTTGCCTGGACCCAAATAAAATTGACTCGGTTTTACCCAAGTGCAATGACAACTTATTGTCCACTAACCATTGGCTGACCAATTCCGTCAATGTCTTTTCAACAACAGATAAACTTTTACCAGATACAAGGATACCAGAATCATCAGCATACGAAAGCAATTTATTTTTGACCACAGCTGACATATCATTTACATAAATTAAAAATAGAAGGGGTCCAAGGATTGAGCCCTGAGGAACACCACATGTTATTTTGTAATTGGAAGAATAAGTACCAGAGACATCTACACGCTGCTGTCTATCTGATAAATATGATTTGAACCAATTTAGGATGTCAATACTAAGATCTGATGCTTGCAGTTTCATTAAAAGAATGGAATGATCGACTGTGTCAAACGCTTTCTGCAAATCCAGCAGCGCCATACCAACAACATTACCTTTATCGTTTTCATACCTGATAAAGTCTGTAAGGTGAATCAGACAAGTATCAAATGTTGTTCTCATTATCATTTATTCAAATATTTGTAATCTTTAAACTTCATGGCAGAAGTTTATAAAAAAAACTGCTTATTTGTAATTTGTACAGCTGACATTTAAGACCATGGTTAACAAATTTGGTTGAAAATAAAATCAGACAGGTGTGTCCAACCGAGGCCGAGCTGGTTATGTTTTCTGACTTCAAATCACTTGCACTGGACTGCTGTGAATTTGAAAACCACCAGGGACTTTTGATTCTTTCGTGTGGAAATCCTATCAAGCTAGTTTTGAATTGTCGATGGTTCTCTGCAGGTGCAACATTTTGCCTGAAATAATGCACAAAGGCGCATCTGCGGTCATTACCCCCAGTAAAGCTATAAATCGCGAATGATCTGAGTTTTTTTTATTCAGCGCAAGTGATTATTCGGTAAAGTAGACATATATTTCCAAAATTATCTATTTTGAAAAGACAGCCAAAGAATACAACTGCGTCGTATCATTTTTTTTTCAACTGCGTCGTATCATTTCGTACAAATTATTATTTTCTTGGAAAATAAACATCTCTTTTTAATGAAATTTTAGTAAATAATACAAAAGGCCTTTGACAACAAAACATTAAATGTTATGCAAGCAGTTTTGCAACAGGGTATAGTTGGTCAGTGAGTTGTCACAGTTCAATACTGTACAGTGTTTCAGGTTTTAATTGCATTTCCGCGCAAAATATGATAAGCCAATGTTTGTTAAATGTGAGTTGATATGAATTTCAAAGTTAATATGAAAATATGTTATGGGAAATTTTGTCACATGGTAAGAAGTTCATATAATTAAAAATAAAGTCACATATACTAGTAATTAAAATATAGCAGTGAATAGTCTCTTCCATATATGCTAATTCTAACTACATGTACTACAATTTCTCTTTTTCGAGGAATTTCTCACAATAACATAATTATATCAAAGAAAGATCTATACATGTATCCGCGTACATGTAGTCTATTTCAACGGTAGTTGTATCATACGACGAGATTTGGCATACTGAATTATAATTGGTGTTAAATTATGAAACACTGATTATAACTAGTTCTAAATTTGAAATAAGCTCCACATGATCTTAAATAAGTACATGTAATAAGGTTGTATTTGAACATATCTAAATGTAGGTTTGGTTCCTTTGACCACTTGAAAATCTGTTATTTCTTCAGTTACTTAATCAATAGTCTTTAGATGTTGATTCTGGTAAGTCATTCATGTTTCAAGCCAGTTAATGAGGCGCCATCCGTACTTAAATGCATGACAAGCTCTCAAGCCCTCGAACATTTCGGCAAAAAAGGCTGAACAAAAAATGTAAACAATTGAAAGCTGCAGCTTTAATCTTCCTCTTAACCGCCTAAGTCCCCAAAATCTCTCTATCTTTTGAAATTCTTTACCACAGATGTAAACAGATTAGAATCACTGTTAAAATTTCTCCCGTCGGAAGCAGACGAAACAAACAGCATCAACATTTACAAATAGTCGTCCGCTCGAGGTGATAAATCGACCAATCAGTGCATGCGAAATAGCTGCGTTGTCATGGTGTCACGTCGTCGAAACTATTACTAGCTCTACACAGTACCCTCTGATCTTCTGCGACAACTAAGCCCCGTTTACACGACGATTACTTTAATGCCCGTATTACGGGTTGCTATATTATCATTACTTTTTCAAACAATATCGTACATGGACTTTAATTTCTGTGCTGTATTAATACATTTACATACTTACTAAAACAAACATAATAAAACATTTCGGTAAAGTGTACCTACTTGTATTATATTACGCAAATGTTCACAAAGATATGAAAGAGAATGAGCAATTGAGCTACATAAGCGAATGCCTACAAATTTGGAGGAAAGAGTGGATATCAAGCGAACAAATGTCCTCCGAGACGAATGCCCTCCCCTCCAAAAATAACAAGACGGACAAAAGCCCTCCCGTGAAAATGACAAGGCGGGCAGATATACTATAAGTCAATGATAGAAAATACGTGTTAATATGTACTTATATGTAGTATAAAAATGTAACGTTCCTTGTAAGTTTCAACATATAAATAAAATAAGGTAAAATGAAAAGCAAATAAAACAAACTGAACATAGCCTTATCATCAATGTACCAGCATTCTTTATTAACGTTATAACATACATGACATCCTGTGTATGGATGCTACGGAATGTTTAAGTTAGCACAAGCCTAAGGTTACATTGAAAGTGATTCTCTGTTAAAACAAACAAACCATCATGTGACCTGATAACGCTCGATTAAGATGCTTATTTCCTCATTTAAACAGATTTTCTTAAAAGACTTAATGAATTTAAAGCGACAACTAAAACTCTCTAAAGAGTATTTGTTTTCGTTGTTTCTTTTCGATATTTCAGTACCTCGTACCCTTTTCGAGTTTTCGGTTGCTGTCTGCATTCTGGTTTCAGTTTTGATATACTTTTAGAATCATTATAGAAATTTCACCCTTTCCGAGTTTGGTAATTGTAGGTTTAGTGTTATGTCGTTGATGCAAGGAAGGATGCTAATGTGCATGAACCCCTTTAAAAACAACAGCGGCGCTCGTTACATTGCTTTATTATTGTCTCGTGTTACAGTTCTGGCTTCCATAACTTTATATGTCCATTTTATTATATTTTATGTTTTGCGACAGTAACAGGTCGCTGTCTTTTTACCTTTCAGCTTAAAATTCATTCCTTTAGAAAAAAAGCTGTGCCCCACTTTTTGTTCAAACTTAGTACTTTAAGCATGATGGGGTCCGTACTCGATAGTGTCGCCGCCGGTTGCCCATATGACCATGGCGAGTCCCCCAATAGAGTCACTTTAAATTTTGGAGGATATTGCAAGGTACAGATACAGAAAGATGCCCTCAATTCCAGAAGCTTCTTCAAGTTCTTGCCAAGTGTTAAAGAACTAATACACGGAACCTCCATTTAAAGTCTCATCCGAAAAGCTGTTTTAGTAATTTTAGTTGTCAGCCCGTGAATCGAAGATTACAAGTCTCGCGTTCTAACCGATTGAGCTTTGCTGGCTGGTTGAAGGCCTTTTAAACGGAGATGGGCATTCAGTTAATATAGATAAAGAAACTTATATCTGCATTATTTATGTAGCCATTCAACCATGAAGTCGACAAAAATTGCTCTAGAAATCCGCCGTTGAAATGTACTGATAACAACTGAGATTTTACATGTTCCTTTGTCAATGAACGCGTTTGTTTTGAATGTAAATACTGTGTATTAAAATATTTATTTAGCAAACAATCTGTGTTGACAAAAATACTTCTTTAATGAGAGTCCAAATATGAAAGGCTAGGTAGAGCATTATTATAAACACACATGAAAGATTTCTAGTTCTAGTTCTTGGACATGAGACAACTAAATCACAAAATTGCGCTTTTGGTTTAAAATAATCAAGGCTTTTCGTTTTCTTTCGTTTATTCCTATTTGATAAAAGGTCATTTCGCTTTTTCAAGCACAATAACATAAATAGGTGTATAAGCTCGACATGAAGATTTGTGTTGTATGTAACTACAAATGTATTTCAACAGAAAGTACAGCAGTAATTGATAAAGCATACAGATGCCAAATGAATTTAAAGCCGGTGAAAAGTATATATCCTACTTAAATGTACACTGTATCTTCATAAAATTGAGTGACATTTATCTGATCTTCGTATCTACTATAGAAATGACGTCAACTATTAATTCGCAAAGCTTACTCCGCCTTTAATTTCCCTAAGGCACGCCCAAATTTTTATGTTTTTATAAAAAATGAATAAACATGATATATTGCGGGGTGTAACACTGTTAACTGTTAGTACCTGAATGGTGGGATGAACCATACATTAAACAGCTGGAATAAATATTTTAAGCCAGGTTTTACAGTAATAACTCCACATCAACGACCATGTCCTTCCAATCAAAATTACTTATAATCTCTTATATTCATGAGTTGCATCTAAACACATTGAAGACCTTGTTTAATTTCTGTACTTTCTTCACTGTTCCTCGAAAACAACTAAATCTCCTCTTAGAAATCCATTAGCTGTATAGTAACATCATATCAATCTTAGCTCGACTTGTGCTAATTTGAACCATTCTTGTACCGGCTTCCTCGGACCAGCTAGTACTGCTGTTAGATGAGGATGCGGTTGTGATCTTGTTATCCACTCACGACCCATCTGTTGACATACATACACCTGAATTGCCAACCCCCTCCACTATGAAATTTTCAGTGTGCTATCTATTTGACCTTATAAAACTTCCGACAGACAATAGTGCCCTCGAAAGAATTATCGCGGGTGAACATTTAACAAACTGTCACATACACATAATGAAAAATTTCCATGATTTTATCATCGTAAAGTTTATTTTCTTCGTCGCCGCTCTCCTCCGCCTCCTCCAACGTCATCATCGTCTTCATCAACGTTATCATCGTCTTCATCAACGTCGTCATCATCGTCTTCATCAACGTCTTCATCAACGTCATTATCGTCTTCATCAACGTCATCATCGTCTTCATCAACGTCATCATCGTCTTCATCAACGTCATTATCGTCTTCATCAACGTCATCATCGTCTTCATCAACGTCATTATCGTCTTCATCAACGTCATCATCGTCTTCATCAACGTCATTATCGTCTTCATCAACGTCATCATCGTCTTGATCAACGTCATTATCGTCTTCATCAACGTCATCATCGTCTTCATCAACGTCATCATCGTCTTCATCGTTGTCGTCGTCGTTATTATTTCTATTATTTAAAAAAAAGAAGAAAAAAAAATACCGAACAAACAACAACAACAAAAAACCCGCAGAAAATGTTACCAGTTTCATTACTAGTATTTTTTCCATTTATGTTTAAAATTCATACATTTATCTTATTCAGGCGTTTGCCCTGACTTGCAATTTTCATAAATATTTTGTATATGTTTACATTAGTCCTTAAGATACATAAAGACGAAATTTTCGATTACGTCACTAATAATGATAACTGACTTTTCAATTACAACATCTAGGATGGGGGAAGACGACAAATTCCTGAGGAAATGGATATCGCGAGGGGGACTTCAAGCACAAATTGGTTACATTTTTGGTTTTTGATCTTTGATTCTTTATCAAAGTTATTTTGATAAAACTTTCGACGGCGTTTTATTTGATTCTGTGGTCAATCATACAGCACTATATACACAAACATTAACTTCAAGTCCTTAGAAGACGTGAACAACGGAATAGAAATATTTGAGACTAATTCTGATTAAGCCATGAAAACAAAAACTGCAAATTCAAGTGTGTTTATGTAGAAAATATTTTACGGTGAGTCCGCTGCTTCGTTCAAAATTCGTCTGGTTTTTCTGTTGTTAATTTTTCTCTTTCTTTCTTTCTTTCTTTCTTTCTTTCTTTCTTTCTTTCTTTCTTTCTTTCTTTCTTTATTTATTTTTTTTCCTTCTTTCTTTCTAAGGCTCAATTAGTTTAAGAACCAAACATTTTACGCAATAAACATATTTCAATGCAGTTTTACATGAGACGCTCTTTCTCTAGTTGTCTCCCTTTAAATCCCGAAATGCAAAGGACAAAACATACAGTTACATATCATCAGTATCGGACCAGATCGATACGAGATTTCAGATTTCCATAAATTCACTCAAATATTTCCCCTAGTTGACATGAAAGGATGTGTAATCTGACCTCGGTGTGATTACTGAACAATTCAGAGTTCCCATACTTTAAATTTTTGTAAAAAAAATTCAAAAACGTATTGACAAGGCCGAGATAGCCACAGTAGTGTGCCGAGATAAGGAGGAACAGACCGCTTTAACATTGATAACTGGTCTCAATACATACTCAATAAATATGATAATATTGTCTCTTATTTTAGTTCAGACATTTTATTTCGGTAATATTAACCCCTTGTCAGATAGACACGTATTTGGGCCATTTTTGTTTACAGAAAAATCCTTGACAATACCTTTATATAAAAAGATATTATATTTTAAACCAAAGTATAAATTTATATACCCGTATTATATTATGTTCCAGGTACAAATAAAATAAATTAAGTTTTGTTATATAATGTCATAGTTTAAAACAGTAACTAATAAGAAATAACTCTATTGTTTAGAAAACGAGTCTTTTAACGTACAATGTAATTATCACGTAATTTAAAATGCATCGTGTGAAATTTTATTGAATGTTTATATATTTTTATCATCTTAAAGAAAAAATCAACAGGAGCCTATATAATATAAGTCATATGGATATGGCGCTGTTTCAATAATTCTATGCACAAGTGCATATAACACGAGTGATTTTATTCTTCTCATCCAAGAAGACTCTTATTTCAAACACTGATGAAAATATAGGCGTATTTATTACTTCTAGTAAAACAGCAGTAGCAGCAGCAGCAGTAGCAGTAGCAGCAGTAGCATCAACAACAGTCTGTTTATCTTAGTTGTCATGATTTTGATTGGCTGCGGAGTCAATTATATCAATGTACGTTACAGTAAGTTTACAATTCATGAGATTGTGACATAACAAAGTTGTGTTTGTTTATATGACAACATTAATCACTTATAAATGCTCAGTTCTCTACTGGAAATCAGTATACGATACATTACATGTATTGTTTGTAGTGTTTTATTTTGTATGAAATACACATTTTTAGGTATTTCAATTGAACACAATATTTATTGTTCGTCACTGTCTATTCCGTTAGAAACTTTAAAAAATTAAATAAATACATTTAATTAAAGACATCTAGGTGCATTATTTGTTCAGTCAATATAATAATTGAAAGTGTAAACATAAACAAGTACATAAGGATTATTTTAGATTCTCTGCCATAAATAAGTTCAACATCACGTGACGTAACTCTTGTGACTGACACGGTTGTGTATATATTATGCCAACACCGTAGATCTAACTTTAGCGTCTGCTATCAAAGAAACGGATTAAACTTTCATTAGAAAATTGAAATCAGCAGAAGACAATGTAGATAATGACGGAGAGAATCTTCGTTATCATAATCCGACATAAATCAGTTTTAAGCTATGGCAGTACTTTAAAAACTTGAAATTGCAATTTTGGTGCAGCTCAAGGTCTTGCTAGATCCATTTAAACTTCAAAAACGCCCTTAAGCAGAAATAATATTTTCATTTGGCAGATAACACTTTATCTTTACAAATATCTTCTCCCTTTCTTTTTTTTTTACAAAATCGTGAAATAAATTTGATCAAAGTTTATAAGTCTTTCAACTTAAGCATCAAGATTTTTTTCTTCAGCATATTCATAATCAATGAATACTATTGTAATGTTTGTTGTTGTTTTTGATGTTGTCGCCGTCGTCGTGGTGGTGTTTTTTTTTCTAGATAAAGGTTCCAAGATGATTTTATCACCCAAACCCAGTTTAATCCGATGTCCAAATAGAAATTATGCAAAAGTCAAATAAGATGGTTACTTAAAAAGTGATTATATTTGATATCAAAAATAGATGTATAAATTCTCGGATATAGGAAGCTCTCTCAATAAAGCAAAGACGGGGATTACATACATATATTACTTATTGTAAGATTTTTCTTGTGGAATGTCGAATGTTCAGATGTGACGCACAAGAAATAAAATAAACTTAATTTATTATTCATTAAAAAAGTCTTAGTTGATTTACCCTTAATCTGCTGACTTTCTTAAGTTATTTTACCCAGCTTCCATTTCTAGATCTGTCTATTATCATTTTAGGACAAGATAAAAAATAAAGTGAACCAACACACTTCCAGACTGGCCTGGCTCTGGCAAAACTGGAAATAACTTTTTGGTTTGAGCAGGTTATGATTTCATAGAATGTCTGATGATTTAAACCGTATGTACATGATAATTGAAGAATGTATGACTGTAGCTTATTATTATGTAATAATACTAACCATTCGATTTCCGGATCATTTACCGTAAACTTTCTTTTAAATGTACGCACGAACGCTATAGTACTTCTTGTCTATATGACTTGAAATATAGTAAGTGTTATAAATTGATTTACAAGAAGAAGTTGTTTACTATCAATTTTTAATTTTATTATAAAGTCCTATAGGTAACTTGAATGTCTTTGTCTTCGTTTAAAAAAAATTATGTTCACAAAGTCTTTATCCTACATAAAATACCAAGAAAGATATTAAAATGAAACACTGAATACAAAGAAATAAAGGGAAAAAACAAAAGTAAAGAAAGAAAATAAAAAAGTAAGTAGACAGAAAAAGAAAGGAAAGGAAAGGAAAAACACTAAACCCAAAGAATAAATTTGAGATATATTTGGACACATCAATTCTTAAATTTTGAAAAATTTGTGCCTATAAACTACCAAGGTGTTTGCTTATTATTTCATTTATTTTTGTTCGTTTGCTAGATTAATATTCGTAAATTTAATAATTAATATAAATATTAATATAAACAAAATTGGTTGATCATTTTTTCAGGGACCTTAATTCCTTCATATGGTAAAATATTAAAAAGGGTTTTATCTGTTTATCCTGTACTGATTGGCTAGGATTTAGTTTTGATAAAATGAAGAAAAATGACATTGTTATTGCCATCTCTTATCTTTGCAATTACCTGTCATCAAATCACGTGATTTCTCGTCGACTGGCGAGATTTAAGCTGTTACCTAATTTTGTACCCGAACTTCTTGTTCTTATCATTTAACAACCTGTGATCATTCGTGGTGTAAATGTATCAAAAACGGGATTGTTATTTTTTCTTCTTGTGATCTTACATTACTCATTACATATATTTAAACATTTTTCTTGAATAACTTGGATTAGACGTTGGACGTTCACTCAGTTTATAGTATCGATCTACACCTGCGGTAATGGTCCTTGAAAACTGTTTTATTTCGGATCAGTTTGCAATTTAAACAAATCAAAATTACGCTACTACTTAGTGCTTATCTTTATAAAAAAAGTGTCACAATCTGAACAAATAAAACAATGTTAGGCAGAAATTTACGTAAGTTTGCTATGTGTAAAAACGCATGAAATGCCTGTTTGCGTTGTTATTCTGCAATGAAAAGCTTTTTAAAAATGCATTTTTATAACTAATACTTTAATCAAAAGTTTTTATATTTGACTTTTCTACGTTGTTATCTTTTGAGAGAAAAAACATCGGTATTCATATTGGGCTGTTTTAATTTAGAACGCATGTAAAAAAAGTTGGAGTGGATAAATAGTGACATCATAAAGGTGACGCGTTTATTGTGAAATAAGTTTGTGTATTCCATCCTTGTGTCACAACTGAATGATTTTTTTTCTTTGACTGTTTTTTTTTCTCCACACAATACAATAAGTCAGCTTTATTTAATAGTTGATAAAGTGCTATATGACATTATGATTTAAAATTTCATATTTAAAAGAGAGGAAATAAATATATGTATGATGGCACAGACTTGGATTATATGTTTGTGATAGACGAATAAAGCAACGTTTTGATATAAAAATAAATTCACATCTACATAAAAAACAATGTTGGGGACATTACCACCTCAAACTATCGATCATCACGCCGGCATGATGAACCCAGCGAAGAGATTTCGTCGGGAAGGCAGTTTACCTGATACAGATCATGGTTCGTCGGATAGTTCTCCAGATACGTCATATAACAGAAAATACGCCAAATCTAGTGTGAAATCAGGTAATAAACTATATATTATATAGTTAGGTGAAAACACCGTTCTAATTCTAGGGTAATAATCTTAAGAGTGTTGTTTTAATGATATCCTCAATTTTAATAATAAAAAATCTGTTGCTGATAGCATTACATAAGTGTAATGTAAATTTCCCGCTTAATATAACATGTTTGTTTATTTGTTTATTTATTTACTTTTTTCATTATTTGTATCGATTAAACTCCGAAAAGAGAAATTCGCGGCTTTTAGATTGTAAAACAAACAATTAAAGAGCAAAGTTGAAAATGAAATTAATATAAATATAGGAAATAGAAGAAGCTAAGGCGGTCCCAAATTCAGAAGCTAACCAAAAATTATATAACGGCCTTAAATTGCTTATTTCATAACTGATCCTATCTAACACTAATACGTGCTTGATGGTCCCTTATAAATAACAATTTTGTTATTATACAATCTGGTTTGATTTATACAGAAATATAAATTTGATAAATTTGTTAATTTACTCAAAATATGCTTTGTCATTACTCGCGTCTCGTCTCCTTTTTAGTTCATTTACAACAAATCCGTGTGGTTTAGCATTCAGCGACTTTTTTCTTCCATTAAGATTGTAAATGTGTTTGAACCATTGCAAATCAACGATCAAAGCATTGTGTATTATAAAAAAAAACTGCAAACACTATTTGGGCTAACTAAAAAAACAACAACAACAAATACAACTTGTATATGTGCAAATTTTATTTTTTCACATTCTTCATTGATTTTGTATTAGTTTCAATGTCCATTTTAACATAAACAACTTCCTGTAAAAATACCAAAAATGCCAAAATATCATAAACACGGTGATCGAACGGTGACATTCCGAAAATGTGAACGATGGACGACAACGACATGATTTCGTTTCTCGGGTATAGGCTAAATTACATGAGAATCAAGAATACATTAGAAACGGAAACTTTTTGTTTGGATTTTAATTATTGATACAGAAGACCCCTTGAAAGAAATCGATGATGATAGCGAAACAATATTCATACGTCCTTGATTTTATTCAAGCTAACACTCTTCTTTTTTTTTGGAGATCAGGAATCCGCTCATTCGTGGTTTTTTTCTGGATTTATTTATTTATATACGCCTTTCCTAAATCCGCTTCTTTAATGAAACAAATTACCGTTAGTGTAAGAGTAAATTTTGATGTTCTCAGGATAGATTAAAGATTTATATTTTTATGATCAAACATCGCTCAAGATTGTCGGTAGACTAAATAACCCACAGATTTGTTTAAAATGTTTAAAATGATTTAAAATCTGTTTGAATTGCCGAAACTCAACACTAAGAAAAACAAATACTAGTTCGCCACTTGAGGCCTACTTGTTAGCCGATAATGACATTTCTAAATTTCATTCGTTAAATGTAAATGTTAATATTTGTCAGTGTAATGCACATCTTAAGTTGTATAGATATCTTTGTTAATTTGATATTTTAATTATGTTTAAGACAAAAATAAACCAAATAAAAAAAAACCTGAAAAGCAGATGTGCATTATTTAGGGCAAATTATAGGAACACTAAAAAGCTTGTAGGTAATAGTTATACATAAACTACGGCAATGACTTTTTTTGCTGTTAGAGATCATACATTGTTTTTTTGTTTTTTTAAAGAAAACTATATGAATATTTACTTCAGAGACATAAAAAAAGTTCGGGACATAAATTGACAATGTCATTATATCTATATCAACATATCGGATATTATTGATAAAATATTATAATAATATTACAACAATATTCCATAAAAGGCAGAATCACAAAAAGAAAATGTAACAAATCCCTAGAAAGACAAAATAAAACGGAAAACTACTATTTTATCCGACTTTAGTGGTAAAAATTTAGATATGTGATTGTTGAAGTCGTACAATGTGTAAATAATCACCGCAAGGATACACAACAAGTTTCATAAAAAAGACTTGCATACATTTAGTATCATTCAGTGAATTGCTGAATTCAAAATGTATAGGTCACTCTTTAGTAGATTACTCAAAAGGCTAATGGACCTTCATTAAGCCTTGAATACATACAAATTTAATAATATTAATTTCATTCACTCAATGTGAAAATTATAATTAAAACGTATGATATCAATAAAAGATACAGTGAAACAATATTACCGTTGTTTTCCAATGCAAACATAAATACGTATTAGATAATCAAACATTTATTTCTGTGACATATAAAATAGAATTGACATTTCAGTGTTTAGATATTATACAAATACCCTTTGTAAAACTTTTGTTAAGTAGATTCATATTAATTAAGGGTTAGTTTTAAATTTAAGTTTAGTGCGTATATAAACTAATATTTTTCATAATCTCGCTCTTGCGTTCTTTTTCTTGCCATTTTCGTTCTGGCAATTTAACATCATTATAAACAACCAAATGTCTTGATTTGCAAAGCACATTACACTAAGTTGTCCTAAATATGCTTATTAATAATTAGCGTTCACGGATCTTAGACGCATGCGTTCGTGAACCTTAGAGCATGCAACGCAGACGACAGTTTTTTTTTCTTTCTCATCCCTCTTGGTGCATTTTCTGATTTTTATCCTGTTATTTAAACATAAAATGTTTGCACCTTTCAAAACAATGTGATATATTGATTTTTATTGTAATCATTTAATATTTCTTATCAGTTATATTGATTTAAAGAGAACTGTTTGTGTCGAATATTACCAAAATTCTCATAGAGATTTTCTATATTGATTTTAGAATCAAGCGGATCTAGAGGGGATCAGAATATTATTATTCAAAATATAGGTCACATTATTGTGGCCTAAAGTTGTGCAAGATTTCATATTTTATAATAGAAAATAAAATGATTTGTTTTTAAACCACATACATATTTATTTATTTAAATTTCGCTATTATTTTTTTTATATCTGGCGGAATTTTATGTAAAAAGGACAAATGTTTTAATGAAATATCAAAAACTTATGTCCAATAGTCAAACCCAACCTAAATGTACACGTTTCAATTTCTGACATTTTTAAATGATTTGAATTTAATTTATTATGTTTATTATATACACACACGTCTTTGGCCATTTTGCAAAATGAATATGGCCGAAATACGGGCAACAGACAGGCACTTTAAACCTCAGCATGTTTTCAAAATGTTTAAAAATTGAAAATTGCCATAAGTAAATATATTCAACTTTTATATTACCGGTAAAAGAAAGGAAAAAATCGGAATCTATTAATATATTTCATATGCTAAAATACTAATTGTTAAAATTCATTCTAATTGCCGAACATCAACAAGCCATAAATGAACAGTCATTGTAAATAATGAAAACTGGTAAAAGAAACGGTTATAAATATATATTCATCTATGTTATTACTTGAAAGTTGTAACCGCAATATCATCATTTAATTTTATTGTATGCTAATAAAAGCCACGTGTCGGATTTAGGGGATTAAAGATATCGATTTCAGGGGTCTTCCATAATCTAATCAAGTTTATATGGCCCCTATCACACCTCGTAATGATTATCGATTAAATTGCGCCCAAAATTACATTTATTATCTTTTGTTGTTTTAGCATTTTACAACTATCATAAAAAGTGACATCTTTAAAATATTTGTATTGGATGAAGGACTTTATGATTTTGATACTTTTTTTATCTTTCAACTGTATGAAAATGTCTTTCTTTCATTTATATTTGTCCATTATTATTGTAGTTATCAAGTGAATCGAAAAATATTTACTCTAAAAGCTCTAAAAATCTTTAACTATCAATCAGTCTGGTAAATGTAGTAAAATAATTTCGAAAACTTTTTTGGTCTACCAATGTAATTTTGTAAATGTTTATTAATGAAAACTTAAGCTATACTTAGTATACCTAACTGGCATCATTGTTAATACTAGAGTTACTGTTTAGTAAATCTTACATCAATTCGGGATATTCTCCAGAATAACATCATATAAATGATATTATTCAACAATAGCTTGTCAATAAGTCATCGTACATACATGTAGATAATGAATATCATTTCATTTTTGTCCTTGTTAAAATAATATAAGAATTTTGAAATATAAGAATCATAAAATCGCATTAGCCATCTAAATTACCTGCTGTTTTATCTAAATTTCGTCTATTTTCTCTACAGATATTCTAAGAAAATTTGATCGGGGTAAATTCTATCTATCAAAATTTCGTTTTTTTTTAATTATTTATATATATGGTTATATCTTAACCCTGAAAGGGCGGATGAACGCTAAAAACGAAAAACTACAGTATTCATTGGATGATTCTGTATCTAAACCAACCAAACGACATTTGTTTCAAGAACTTGCCCCACAACATTCAAAAAATATCTAGAACACGGAATACCTGGGAAGTAGGATGTTCGTATTTTTCTTACTTCAAAGGTTCACCATTTTTTGTTTTTGTTTAAATGCTGAAATGCTTAAGCTAGTGATAGGGGCGTGGACGGTAGCTTGCAATCACCACTATCGTCCGTGACCAGACTCAGACAAACCGAGTCTGAAACATTTTAACTTTTGTCGTTTTGAGCATTCTTTAGAGCTTTCTTTTTCCTATTTCTAATCTATTGTAAACTGTAGATTGAATGATTGTATTATTAGAGTATTTGTTCTTTCCTTCATCTGTATTCTAGAATTTGTAATGTTTATATCAAAATCTTTTGTATTTTCTTTATGTCGTCACAGAACCTTCAGCAGAAGATGGACAGAACTTCACAGACGAAGAAAGTGTGTTTGATGAAGAAGAACGCGCCATGCTTAGCGAGGTTGGTCACGTGGATGTGAATGGCAACAGTAACCAAGCACCTAAGAAAACTGTAGCTCAAATTATGCGTGACAAGAAAAAGCAGACGGCGATGACACTACAGTGGTAAGATTTGTTTTACTAATATACATGGAAAGCAAGGTCTGTCTTTTTTATAGGTTGAAATTATTAATTTTGCATGACTTTTACGTCAATTAATACATGTATAACAGTTACTAATTTCATGACTTACTTAGAGGTACATGTTCAAAACAAAGTAGCTGTGCGAGAAGAAAAGTCTTATGTTTTGAAAGCCAAAATATTTCTTGTATGCCATAAATACCACAACTGTTACTAAAAATAATCATTTTTTTCTTTAATAATAATAATAATAATAATAATAATAATAATAATAATAATAATAATAATAATAATAATAATAATAATAATAAAATATTAAATAAATATAAGAACTGTTGTTTTAATAATGAATCGGAGATTACTGTTTCTTTTGAAATTTAAACAATTTCCATTTAATTCGTTGAATTTTTCTTATGACACGAACGCTCTGATAAAAACGAAAAGAATTATCGGAAACCACCACCGAAAAACACAGCACGTTAAAAGAGCCATTGATGATTTAATATTTATAAAAGTTCACTTTATCTTAAAGAAACACAAACGCCGGTTTTGTTACAAAAGACTTGAAGCGGCTTTAGTAATCCGCAAGTAAACTTGAGGAATTCCTATAAAATGACACATTTTCTATGCAAGAAGAATTTACAAGAGGGTTTACATCTCAAGTAGATGGCTAACATTTGATTTTTCAAATCAGTAAGTTTAATAAAAACCCAAATCTGACAGATGAAGAAAAAGGTTACTTAAAGGGCAATACCACGTGACGTGCATGTGATCAAGCTTTTCAGGCTAGCCTAACACGATGCCGAATATTTAATGGTCCGGAACAAGGAGAAAAATTTACGCTAACTATTTGTTTGTATGCACAAATTAAGGCAAACATAAAAATGCTATGATTTATAGTGTAACAAATCTTATTTATAAAAAGAAAACAAACAACGATTAAAACCAGTTGTACTGATGGGGTAAATATACCAAGGTACGTTTTTGTTTCTTTAATTTTAAAATCTGTAACAACAAAAGCGCAGCAACGACAGCAAGAGCAACAATAATAACAATGTATCTCAATCGGTAAGAACAAGATGGACTAGGAAGAGGACTTAAACGAACATGCAATCAAACAATATGCAATATTTAACCACAAAATGAGGCTTGTCATTTGCAATATGTTAAAATAAAAACTGTCAAGACTATTTTTCATTGACAGCTCGAAATTTGGTCATATCAGCTGACAAAAATATACAGAGAAAAGATTTTTACGTTATCTGAACTGTCAGGTGTGAATTCTACAAATCCAGCTACCCTACCGTTTTTGTTTGCAAGATTCCGCATCCGACCACTGTTATACCATTTATTGTTTTAGTTAAATAAACACTTCACACTGACTATTGCCATTTTTGAAAATTATCGTGTAATGACAAATAATGACAGAAAACTTGACTTATCTTGTATTGAAAAAACTGTATCCATCTAACCTAAAGAGCATCATTGACAGCAAATAATATAGAACTGACGAAAAGTAGACGTTTAGATATTATCAATTTGATTACATGTACATGTATTTTAAATTTCTCATAACTAAGGTTTGAACTAAGGTTGAATATAAAGAAGGAATGAATTAATTATAATACAGGAATGAATCAAATGAACAAATGGATGAACAAAGCATTTTTTTTAAATGTTTGATAACTGAATTGTATTTCTTTGAGTCTATAAAGAAATCCTGCAATAATATTGTTGCCTTTAGAATGATAGTTTGTTTCTCCGGTGATTTGCCAGAATTTAGGTAAAATTGTTGAAATTTATGAATATTTGAAATATTTTGTCATAAAAATTACTTGCACTTTAAACTCAAAATTGGTAAAAAAGTAATGAATTTTAATAATTTTATGAAAGTAGACAATTTTATGCATTGACCAGTTATCACTGTAGAAAATGGAGATCAATTCTAGCATGAAAACTACTAGAAATATGTTTTGCTAAAGCTAAAACTTTTACGAGAGAGCTTTGTGCATTTTTATCCAAGGTGTGTCCAAGTGTTGTATAAGAGAGTCATTTTAGCTAGTTCCGATCGAGTGGGAGGACATCCGTTCTATCGAATTACTTGTTTTGATAACGTGTATGAAGATATTCCATGAACAAAAGTCCTTGTATATTTCGTATGGTAAAACCAATATCGTTTAATCTAAGTCAAATTCCCAAATCCTTTAAATAGATGGCAATGGGGAAAGTTCATGTCTGCTCTATTGCGGCATGCTAGTATAAACCTAAATAACAAAGCCGGTGTTGGTTGAATAACCATCCTCATTGTATTTTACTCAGCAAAAGTTTTTTATGAATCACTCACTTGACAGCAATTCTGAAAGTCGCAGAAGTATCATTGTCCATTAAACTGATGTATCATATCGTATCATTGAAAGTTCTAGACTACTTAAAGAGGTAACCGCATCTTATGCCGTTTCTAAACAAATATGATCGTTCAATATACCTTTTTGTGTTCTTGGTATACGTGTAAATACTAAAAGGAAATGACCTGATCTGTATAACACATTTATTTTTTTTAAACATGTCCGAATTCTGTCATTAATTTCTATCAGAATCATAATCGCCTGAAAATCTGCATGCTTTCCCTTAAAGGCACGCGGATTTATTTGACCTCGTTTAGAAAGTGGAAGCACGTGTATTATATTATTTAAATAATGAATGTAGAGTATGTTAGATGTTCATCACACAAAGAAAGTAGCGCTGAACGTGACATAACTTGCCGTAGAAATATAAAGATCATGTAACTCAATTTTTTATGGTTTTATATCATAAATTTAATGTTCAAATGTAGATTTATTAATTTAAAAGTTCCAAAAAGCGGTTTTTGTAAAGATATTACCGAATTTACATTTCATATAAATAAAGGGAGCTAATTAGAAATTTATTTTCTATAAAGTCTAAGTCAAATTTTTCAATAAGAAATGAATGCATAAATTTTAATGATAACATATAATGTGTACAAATATTTGCAGTACATATTTAAAATATTCTTTGATGTTTGAAAATTGTTTTAGAAGCATAATTATATACAATGGTGGTAACAACCTTAATTACAACATACAGGATCTTTAAATAAAGTGGTATTTTGACTTCCATACAAAATCACTATAACTGTACTAATGCAGAAAAAACCCAAAACGAACAAAAACAAACAAACATAAAGTCAAACAACAGAATCAAAAGACGGTTTAAGTATAATGAAAATGAATAATTATTGGAAACTAAAACAGGACACCAAAAGTCAAACACTTTTAAGCAATAAAAATAAAAGCCTTTGTGGGGCTTAGTTTAAACATATTTTATTTCAAATGTACATGTTTTACAGTTTACAATAATTATATACAAAACATTACAAATATTCCAAGGAAACAGAATAAGAATGGAAGACCCAATCTTATAAAACTCTTCTTCTCTTTCTGGGACTTATTGGGCATTAAGAATTACCATTTTCATGAGTTAGGTAAGTTTAAAGTCATTATAGATGTTATAAGACAGGTGGTATAACATTGAAGTGATCGTGGGTATTATCTTATCGAAATATCATTGATCATACTGCACGAGGGCGAGAGGTTAAAATAAGAAAACTCAAACTGACAGCACCCTAGCATAATGTGTTGATATATATAATAAGTGGCTCTCAACTGTCAAATATGATGTGAACCAAGTCTAAACACGTAAAACACTCTGAAAATAAACCGCGACTGAAAGCAAAAATGGCTTTATTAAGCCGTATGCTAACCAAGTGTGAGCGTTTCTAATTGTAGGGATAACAGCGTGAGCGTTTTACATTATGGGGACGATAAAAATACCCACAAGAAACATATATTCGTGCTGTGCAAACGAAATTTGTTAAAACAAATAGTGACATTTGCGTCTGCTAGTGTCTGTCAAATAATTACTACCACGTACTAGTATTTAGATATATAATGCAATGTTTGAACTTATCAATTCGGTTAAAAAACGATATGTATCGTGGGCCGAAAAAATATGTTTATTTTTTAAAAAGATATAAGAACAACGGCATGAAGACATAAACATGTACAATGTAATAGGCCTTTATTAAAAAGTGCCATCAGCTCTTTCCGTCAAACTTCAGACAACGGTAAGAATTATTGGTCAACATCGTGTTCTGAATGCCGCTCTTTGCACCACCATTTATATGCTGATTTGTGTCTAAATATTGAAATGTTACTGTTAAAATTTGAAGATTGTTAAAACAGGTTTCACATTTTGTTTCAGCATCCACTTGGTATAAAGCGTGAATTGGAAAGAATGTAAATCAATGTTTAATTTGTTCAGTGCCATAAATAATACACTTAGTATAAGTGTATCTTAAAACACTACAGCCCAAATCATAACAATATAGTATGCTTCAGTGAGTGATTGCAGCAATATATATCTTGGGAAAGTATTGTAATGTTAAAGTTAAATTCATGCTACCGAAAAACTGCATCAATATTGTAAACCTTTGAACCGTTTTTGGAATTAAACATCTAGCAGAGTATTGTTTTGACGGCCTTTATTTACATGGCCATAAAGATATTAAATTAAGACCATAAACTAGATCAATATTAATATTAAAAAGGTAGCAATATAAAATGTAGTGTTAATATTGTAACACTATCAGGGTCTTATTTCAAATTTATCACGAAATTCAAGAGAAAATGTCTACTTTAATTTGTCACTTTAAGTAGAAATATCTCACCACGTTATTAAATATTATCTGGCGAGTATAACTCCCTGGTTCAATATCAACGATCGAACTTCCTCCGCCTATATATTCGAATATTGATATATGCTTGAATATTGATAATGCTCATTGAAAGTGAATGTTTGTATTTACAAGATTTTATCAGCAATATGATATAAGAACAATTAATGAACTTTGTCAATTTTAGCTGGCATTTTTATGTTCTTAGTTTGTAAGCGTACTATACCAGTTAAATAAATACAAAAGATTAAAAGGTTTTGGACACGTAATTTATATCGAGTACATAAATAGAAAGAAAATAAGTATCTTTTTTAGTTTAGAAGAAGTATAGTTAAAACCTTGAAAATCCTTATAAATCATTGTCCAGACAATTTAAATGTTAACATGATAAAATAAGAATATTTTGATATAAACTTGCGTCCATACGATCGTGTACAGTAGCTTAAACATCTCGCCAATCAACGACCACCAATTTACAATTTATATTTTTCAAAACATGTTATAATGACCAAATATTGCTTGCATTGTCTTAAACAAAACTATTGTTTTTATATTACAGATATTTAACAATTATGTGCATGAATCAATTGTGAGTTTTACCATAGTTGCAACATTAGGACTTAAATTGCATACATGTAGGGGATAATGAAAATATTTTAGTTTGAATTTTTACCAAAGTTGCAGCTAAGATATTAAACTATATTACAAGGTTACAATATAAATAAAACGATCTTTTTATTATATTGTGTATTATCAATATTTTGCTTTTACTTTAAAGGTTAGAGGCCAACTACTGTATATGCGAGGGTGTCTGTCTCCCGAGGTGTATATTGTATGCGCATTATCTAGACTTTTGTCGTAAAGAAGGCCTGGAACCAGCATGTGCGGCTACCTTTGGCAAGGTACGTATGTCCTTATGACAATCGAAACTGAAAATGATATGTATTTGTCACCAGTACACAGGACAGTTTGAACTTCCAATCAATCTGACCAGGCTCTATACGAACGAGAATAAAATCCCATAAACTTTGAATGGACTGTTAAAATTCAAAGCAAGGCATACCTATACATGTAACAGAATTCAGTAGGTTAATTTCATGGGACTTGGCCATAAATTTTAAGCAGAATATATCCCCAGGGGTATTGACAATTTGAAGAAGACAAGAGATACTCGCATATTCTTTATGATTGAGTCTGTTTGTGTGATAAACAGTGAGTAATGCAAAGTGTCTAAAGCCCACTAACAAAACAGACTAGCATTAATGTTTTGATTGTTATCGTGACGTACTCTAATTAAATTTAATTTAATTTCATCTGACATTCTACAATATACCTGAAATTTTTTGTTATTAATCAATACTTTCTGTTTTAAATAATGAAAGCAACTTGCAGTAGTTTACCATTTTCACCATTTTCTATACTGCAATACAGTTGGCTTTGACTGATTGACTACAAATTGATCAGTTCATTTTAAATCAATATTTTGGTATGTTTTAGACGTAAAATATGTAATAAAAGAAAAACAATGATTGTATGATAAAGTTTCTTTAACCAGATCAGACCTCAAGTGTTCTTAAATTTTGTTACTTACTACCAGACTAAATGCCAATCCTAAGTAGTTTAGTATCTTATAATTTGATACCAGATCAGGTGCCAAGTATCTCGGTATCTTATTACTTACTACACCAAATGCCAAGTATTCCAGTTTCTTGTGCCTTGGTACCAGATCAGATGCCAAGTATTTCAATATCTTATCACTTGGTACCAGATCAGGTGCAAATGATCTCAGTATCTTGTCGCTTGGTACCAGACAAGACGTCAGGTATTTCAGTGTCTTTTCAGGTATCAAACTGTTTTGCAGCCACGCTTTATTTCTATTAATTTCAAGAGAATGGAAAAAATCGAAAATTAAGCAGATGACATTTTTAGCAGTCAACAATTTTTCTCAGCATGCAAAAGATTTTGGTTTTCTTTTCAGACTATCCGACAGAAGTTTCCACATTTAACAACAAGACGTCTTGGAACTAGAGGTCATTCGAAGTAAGTTTTTTTTTTACCTTAGTAAAATATAATATAAATTTGCAATATACGACTCTTTACGACAAATCTATTTTTTATATAAATAATTGTTTTTATTGTCAATACACAGGTATCATTATGAACAATAGAAAAGACATTTTTTCCAAGCCTATTTTGTTAATTTTCAGAATATTTCATATACAGACGAGCAATTTGCATATATTGTTAGATTTATTGTTACATATACATTCCAGGTACCATTATTATGGAATAGGAATTAGGGAAACCAGCCAATATTATCATTCCGTATACACAGGCAAAGGTCTTACCAGGTATGTATAACATCTTTGCACAATGACCTTTGCACAATGACTGAACATTTCCGGATATTTTAAATAAGATATAATGATGTAACTAATTTATATATTGTAATATTGTATGATATACACTGTGTTAATATATATCATATACGTATATCAGAATAAAACGTTATATTACGGTAGGTGGTACATATATAAAGTGTCTGATTTATATACAGGCAATACATTTGGCTATTTATAAACATGTACAAAGAAAAAAGACTGACAACGTGCTTCCACTCACCATATATGAATTTTACGTATAATTTTGAAACGCAAATACAAAGGTCCGACAAAATTTTCTTTCCTTTTCAAAGCATTGACGTGCTAGAGAAGCATTATATGTAATTCAGCTCTCATACCATGCACGTGTTTACTAATTAAACGAGATATTTTGCATGTAAAATCGGTTTTGTGATGTTTTGTCATTTGTAAAGGGACAGCAATTTGTGCTTTATATAATTAATTTGAAGTCGCAGAAGTTTAGGTCATTCAAATAGAAACTAAAAGCATTGGGACACAAAAAGGTCTTTCTTCAAAGTGTATCCTAAATATAGACACACACACAACTGGATTAACATACAACGAACTTTGTTTGAAAATTGACCAAAAGGATTAAATTAATTGAAACTTGTACAAGGTAATAAAGTCATACTATACAGCTACCATTCTCTGTATCAATTTCCTCGGATTAAGCACTTAAAGACATGGGCGAGAGAGGTAATTTAACCAGATAACTATATTTACATGGGAATAATCGGATTATAGGAGCCGTAGATAATCAAATGCGTCGCACTATACACAGAAGCTGACTGGCTCCAAACTCCGTCTACGGCGGATAGAGAAAATATGATAAATTGACAAGGTTTTAATAGCTCCCGTTAATTTTGACTTTCATATGGTGAATTCACGGTTTTATAGTTCATATTTTAACCTTACAAATAAAATTTTGACATCCGCATCATTTGTAATTACAAGACATTTGAATGTAATGAGTTATAAATGTATTTAAATTATAGAGCATAACTCAGAGCATTAGAGCTAGTCCGTAGAAACAATCAGTGATTATGTATACATGTATTTGTATAACGATTTAGGCTTGCACACTGTTTGTTGTGAATGATGCTGAAATCAACCATTAATATGTCAAGATTGAAACTTGCTTGTGTTAAATAATTGAAAGCCATTCAAAATAAGTTCAATATTTTTTAGAATATTCTAATGATATATTGTATAAAGGAGATTCTCAATGCTATACTTTTAATGACATGTTGTAGCCGAGTTCATCAAAGTGCATAATAATGAAACTGTATATCGTATATATCATCCACAGTGAAAATAAATTCTTATTATTACAGTCCGTTATTTAAGGAAGAAATGATTTTTCATTTAAGTGATGACGTCATTCCAACGTAAGAAAGCTTAAATTTGTTTTGGCGTATGAATACACAAAATGGTAAAAACTAACAATATAAATTTGTAAGCTGTTGGATAATACGATATGGCTATTTATGAAAGTTATCACATTTTCATATGCAACATTAACTGTCTTAAAACTAAAACAAAGATGTATGTATAGTATTTATTATCAATCCTATATTTATGTTTCTATATTAGGAAAATATATGGCCAAAATCATTAACCAAGCCTGTATGTCAAAGTAAATGATAGGTCATACGAGACAGGAATATACATTTAAATAAACAATATCATGTATTAAATCACCATAACTTGGTTAGATCTAAAAATATGAAGGCTTGGTAAAAACATATCTAGATTCCACTATCGCAATGATTCTATATGACCTGCTTATGCTCCCATTATTGTCATACATTAATCTCTAAGGATTATTTCCATTCATTAAAATTGCAGAATAAACTAGTTCTCCACACGTGTCCGTTCTTCAGTTTCTAGAAACGCGTATATGCGGCTCATATAAAAAGAGTACCATAGTTGTCTAGTAAAGCTAGCTGCAAGGATAGCACTAAATATTCGTATCTAGGAATCGCAAAATTCTAATCGGCATTTAATGAACCTATTCACACTTTGAGCTTTGTACAAATTATTCTTATCTCGAATTATAACAATATGGCATGACCACCTAAGTATATTGGCTAATCTCCGATATTTACCATAGTACTACTTCAAAACACTTAATCGTCCTCTAGCAAAAAACAATGACATACACGAGATACATTCAAATTGAACGAAACAGTTTGATTCTATGATATACAATGTTGTATAAAAAGTGGAATTTTTAATATCAACATAAATAAGATAACAAAACTTTTCATTTTCTTATGATTATATTTTCAGGTTTTCTGGTTGCAAACTAAAAAATGAGGTGAGTTGTTCTTCATATATTTTGTCGTTTTAAATTTAATTCGTTTAATCACTGAATGGTGTTGTAAGGTCGAAGCTAATACAATATGTCATAGTGTATAATACACAACCTTTGTGTTAGTCTGTATTTGTATACAGGGTAGAGGTGAAAGGAATTTGACTTTAGTAGTGTACGTTAAGTTTAGTGTTCATATGCTACTAATCAAGTATAATGTAGTGTTCCTTTTCATGATACAGGATTTTGACCAAAAATGCCTTACTGTTCCATATACTCGTACTAGTCATTTCAATATAATTTGTTTTGCCGGTGTTGATCAGAATTTGTTGTTTTTTCATTGATAACTGACTAAAAAATTGAAGAATACAAACACTTCTAAACTAGTTCCTAATTGAAACAATATGTTCATTATTGCCTTTTTGGAGGTATAATTGATTATGAAATAATACAAACACTTGTAAACTAGTTCCTAATTGAAACAATATGTTCATTATTGCCTTTAAAGGTATAGAATAATACAAACACTTGTAAACTAGTTTTTAATTTAAATACTAAATCAAAATTGCTTTGTTTTTGATTTATTGTATGCACTCGTATTTATTATTTGTAATTACATTGTTCTGAAGAATAAATTAACTTTAAACTGCATTTTGTAAAGTATACTTTTTAGCATTGAACACATTGTTTACTTAGGTGCAAAGTAAAGTGTATACAGAGAAATTTTGTATACTTATTTAAACAAAATATTGGCACATTTGGTAACAAAAAATGCAATTATGTATTGACTTTACAGTAGTTTATATTTGATTGAAATTTGACAGAATTTTAAAGTGTAAAACACAGAATTTCCAAACTTTCTCTTGCAACTTTGTACTTTGAAGGCATTGCATATATCATAAACACTTTTGAAATAATTGTATGCATCATGATCGCTTTTTTGATATACAATAAGTTAAATATTTCGCATGTTCTAACAATCTTTTCTCTAGTGCTGACACACAGTATAATTCAGAAGCACGTGTCTAATACACCAGAAAATAAGGGAAATCTTCTAAAACATGACCAGTTTCCTTTTATTTGAGGGCTCTCCTTTATAACATTTTAGATGGCCAATCGCCTCTAGAATTATGGAATTTTTTTTTTTTGTTAGTTAATATTTGACAATTTCTCTGTGTTTCGATTGATTGAAACTCCCCCAGCATCGGTGGATATCACAGATTGCAGGTCCATAGACTAGGATATAGACCACATCTAGATACAATAATTGTATATTATGATTATATTACTAGTTTTTTATCATCGTACAAATTCCACTTCTTCCTCCTATATAGATCATGCGTTAATTTTACTTATCAGTGTCTTCCAGTAATCATGACACACCAAAATTTGCTCAAGATTAAAACATTTAATCATTTAAGTAGTATAATCACCTTTTAACTTTTCGCAAGTCAAATGTGGATAATAAAGTTTTCCCCTAGAGTCGTTTAATGCTAATCTGTAAACGCTGAGCTCTTTGATGAGAAATTAATTCACGTATTATAATTGGTTGATGGAGTTTGGCTACAGTTTATTTTGATAGATGCGTTTATTTTACATTTGTTTAACAGTAAAACTGATAGCCGGCTAAATGGAACAAATGTTACTGTTTAAACAAATTCGCTAATCCTCATCTCCCTACATCTTTACTTTTCCTTTCATCTAAATATACATGATCATTTTATCGTTCTGATGTCAGAGAGGCTGTCTAAAGGTTTCACAGTTGCTATGTCCACGGTAACGATGAAATGGCATTTTTCTCTTTTTTCCCTTTTTCTTTTTGAAAATCATTTGGGACGTTCTAGTGGAAACGGACGCAGGAACAAGCAAAGGAGATTCTCAATGCTCACCAGATAGGTTTAGTGTGAACAAAACAAAACAACATTTAAAATCAAAAAGATGAAAGAAAATTTTGTTTTACTTAGTAAATAAATATTTCCTGGTTGGAAAAGTTCTAACAGTTTTCACAGGAATTCGGCTTTGATAAATGCAATTGTGTACTGAAATGCATTTGCTCTACATATCCCACAATATTCTACAGTAGGTTCAGACATTTGGTAACTTCAGGTTAACGTGAACTGGTCTATAATGGAAAGTATGTAAAACAATAAATAATCGTGTTGATAATATTTAGTATCAGGCATAACATCAAACTACAGAAGAATTATATACAGTATGTATGTTGTTGGTGTGCAATACATGATCCAATATTTCATATATTTATATTACAGTTAATAAAGTGTTCTAAAATATTATTGCTCATCGTATCTTTCTAAATCACTTAAAACTTTATCAACATTTTCTTTTCAAACAATATCCTTTAAGAATATCTAAATGTAGCAATAATAATAATAATAATAATAATAATAATAATAATAATAGGCAACGCAGTTAGACAAGCCCTGTCTTCCATATGAGCCTCTTTAACATGTAGGCCATTAAGGCGTACATGCTATATTCTGTTTGGACAATCTATTAGCAACATATTGAAAAGATGTTTGAAATATATATATATATATATGGAAATTTGATTTTATAGTATGGATTTGCTAAAATCCAAACGTTTGAAGTCGAATAAAGTTAACTTCTATATTGCATGAAACAATACAAATGAATAAGACATTTACAAACCTTTTGCTGGTTATTTTGTAACTTACAAATCTGATACACTATTTTCTATTGTTTATAAAATTTGAAATAATCATATTGCATTATCCATTAAGTGAACAACAACAACAAAAATACATATCGGTAAAGCAACAATTTGCTAATTTTACATTAACACCAAACAGCAAATCACGTGTACGGCATCTCTGAAGATATTTTTTTATAAATGCATTTATGTTTTAACAAGAGGGGAATAAAGCTATTTATATAAACATAATAATAATCTTAAACACAACTAGTGAGATGTTTTAATCATTTCCACGATGAAATTCTTACACGGACTTGTCCATATTTTATTATTTCAGTTCAGGGAAATTTCTAAATATGTTCTGACTAAATAGCGAACAATGCAGACCATAATACAGACGGTCCGAAATTGCTGGCTGAACTTGGTCTGCACTGGTCGCATGAGTACATGAAGTTGCTGTCAGCTAGCTAAATAAATAACTGTCTAACATTTTTGTTTATAGATTGTCCGAACAAAATATATTATTGTGCGCAGAGTTAATATACAATTTCAAGTGGAAATAAGAAACACGCTTGGGATGCCATCAGCCATTTATAAGAAATCAACAATTATAATATTTAAAATTTACATAGAATTTTAAGTAAATGTCTAAAGACAGTGGTCCCTTTTGATAAATATGTATCAGACTAGACAAGATTTGCGTCTCAACGGTAATTCCTTTATCGAATGTATAGATAATTCACTTTTGTTTAGACAAGAGTTTGCCTTTCTTATCTTGCTCTGGTTCTTTGTCAACTGAACGTGAACGCCTTGTTGGTTAAGTATGTATTATACTCACCGCCACTAAACTATTATTTATCAATACATTTCAAGATGGGAAAGTGTGTGCGGCTTGTTTGTAATTCTTTGATGCGGTTTGTTGTTAAGGGATTTGGATAACATATAAACGATGTAAACCGCCTCTGAAATGTCAAGCAAGGGACCATCTTTAATTGACTATGATCGCTAAGTTGTGTCTCCTTATTATTCTACGCTATCAAAATGACAAAAAATAAAGAAGAAAAAACAGATATAGCAACAAATATTTAACAACAAACAAATACAGAGGCTTTGATAATACACTTTATATACAAGCATTAGACATATCACCTCATCTTAATTAACACGTTTCAAAGGTGCCACATTATAAAATCATAAGTATTTTTGTATATTATTGATGTAAAAGACTTAACACATATGAATATTTTACGGATTAGGCACAACAAATAAATAAATGACAAATAACTATAATCGTCTAAATTCAGTATTGTTTATTGTAAGATGAATGTGGATTGTCGGATACATCTGATCATTATAATTTCCATGAAACCACTCTTTGAAAAAAATAACAAAACAAACAACCAAAAACATTTATTTCAGTTTAAAACTCTTGTTAAGCCTTAGCATAGTGTTGGTTGCAAACTCTTTTATACCGATACATATCAAATAAGGAAAAGGGGAACGCTTTTATCTCGAAACATAACAAAACAAGAAAAAGATTATATATTTTCTGTTTCCGCCATTTTCTTTTCTAAATTCTGAATAGACATTTTTTATACATATCATATACATAATCATCATAGAAATTAAATATAGTCGTGAACATATCTCAGATGTGTTTAGTGCATATGATGTAGATATAAATCATAGTAATGATGCATCATTAAAACATGTGATCGGAGAGTGGAATTCTATTTTTTTTGTAACAGTCCATTGGTCTCTGTTTGCGAGAAGAAAACATTTTAAGGAACATCCCGTCATCAAACATTACGGACCTAAGTTTTACTTATCTCTGCGGAAAATAAAAAAAAATCATTTTATATTTACATATGTTAATCATGCTATATTTGTAAAAAAGGGATTTGAAATTGAATGTATGTATATCCATCTAATCAAAAGTAATTTAACTGAGCTACCAAAAACATAGTTATATATCTTTGCAAAACTGCAATGATGTGCAGGTTAAATAGGCTTTGTAGGTTCCCCCTCGTACTGCTATATATTGCTGATCCTTCCCGATTGATTCACGTACTTTATTGTCGGTGCTTGGGGCGTGCGAAATGTTACACCTTGCTTTATCCCTCATGAACAGAAACAAGCAAGCCGAATCTGCAATTTTCACCTTTTTAATTTTGTTTTCGTTGCTCTTGAAAAATCTCCGTTTTCCAAATGTTTGTACAAATTACATACTTACATCTTTTTCATCACCGTTAATATTATTATTGTAAGACATGTTTTATTAACATTTTTGTATTTTGTTTCAGGGCGGATTCACTAGAAAATATTCACTCAGTTCTAAAACAGGGACTCTGTTGCCGGAGTTTCCTAGTGCTCAATATCTTATCCTACCCCAGCAAGTGCAGAAAGATAAGGTAAATCAAGTGTAACCATTACATCTTTTTTTAAAGGTAAATCACACGTAACTATTACATAGACTAAGTCCAACTTTAATTGTGACCGAAAGAGGTCAAAGATATAAGTTCAGGTATACAGCAGTACCTTTGTAAAACTGAAAGTAAAACACCTTTTCAGAAACAGAAATGTTAATATTTTCGGGGATTAATGAACTTATAAATACACTTGCTTTTGAAAAGTTTGTACATATTTCAATCATGATAACCATTTTGATTTTATTTTGGTTTTAATGCTCTTTGTATTTTTTGTCTTTTGACTTTGTGAACAAAGGACCGGATTACTTTTATACAGAAAATATCAACATAAGTTCAATATAAAATAAAAATATCAAATATCTGTTTCACATACTTTAATGATTTGCCTTTTTTCTAAAGCTGATTCGGAAAGTTATAAATGAGATGAGAATAACCATGTATATTATGTCGCCATGGATAGGATTGGATAAAGAATTATAAATTAGCTATTGTGATAGGTCAATATATTTTTTTAGATAAATTTATAAATAAAATGTAAGAATACACGCAGTTCGCTACAAAATTAAACCGTAGCAGTACAATAAAAAATATGGATACCCTTAAGAAATGGATGATAATAAAAGTGTTCCACCTTAATATAAAAAAGCGCTGGCAAAATACTCAACATTTTTTCACAATTCAAGACCTTTGCTACTTTTATTCAATTTATCTCAAAGTGAAATATAAATTGTTGAACACGTCAATACCAATATTGGCTTTATCCTGTCTTTTCCAAACAGACATCGCCTTCCTTTCAACATTTATTGAAATCTCGATAAACTCCTTGTCCGGTTTTAAGTTATAAATGGAGTAAAAATCCGAAATTGTTCTCTTTATGAAAAGGTTCCAGCTTACAAGTCTCCAAAGCAAACAACCAATGTTTGCTTTTCGCTGCTTATTAAGATAAGTCGGTTCAGGAACTGTATTAATTTATAATTTACTTTCCGCCGGAGAAATGCCACCCATTGTTTTCAAATCAAGCAAATTTCATTTCTGATTGCTGATCGGAGATTTAAGCAAAGTTGCTTTTTTGTTTATTTCAGTTATCTTTTTTGTCTGCAATGATGCCTGACTCATTTAAGTTTCATAGAGATATGGTTTATGCTGGATATATGTTTCAGGATCTGTATATCAATAAAAATAATAACTACAACAAAAATCGCTTTTTAACGTTATTGTACATGCTCCGAATATTACATTTAACAAAAACTATACTATCAATCAAATTTCTATGCTACTCTTTTGTACAGTATAATAACCTTATAAAAAGGCAAAGAAATGCATGTGGTAGATGCCCTAACAAACAAGAAATAAAAGGCGTCTTTGGTCTGGTTACAGCACAATTGTTTAATTGTTAAGAATTTCTTTTCCCTATTTTAACTTTACAATTTCGATTCGGCAAAGTATTTCTTTCTTATACACCAGAGACATTGACAAAATTCCTCAATTTTCGCTAGCCTCTCAAAGTTGAGCATAGATGTAAGCCACGCCTTCTCCGCCATTAATCCTTATATGTACTCATTTTACTCACGGTCATTTGCTGCTTGTTTGTTTACAGGGAGATTAATTATCTTTAGGAAGTTAACTGATTTAATCTCCCGCAAACAAGACAAATATTTGCATTCAATAAGAAACTTCTGTGGCAAATAACCTGTCTACAGTTTTAATCTAATATTGATGTATGCATTTAACTCAATTCAGAATTTAAATTTATGCACCAATTTAAGTCGCCAAATAATGGTACAAAGCCTCTTTCATTGTCTTTCTTATCTATCTCGGAATCGTAAAACATGATGAATTTTGTTTTTATTGTGATATATGCTCATGTTTCTCAATACAACAATGTCTTTCTATGTTTTGACATGTTGGCTCACTGAATGTCAGACCAAGTACTTCTTTTCCCCTTATCTCCAGTACGCTACTGTTATCTGACCGGGAACTTCAATTTCCACTTCATCATCTGATTTTTCTGCCTGCTGGGCAGGTGTCCCATCTTAATTGTTTTATTGATTTTTCTTTTCCACGCATTTACCTCTGTCTGCTTTGTAATAGAGTAAATATCAATATCTATTTTTTCATTAAATTCTTTTTTCCTGGTGAAACGGTAAAATATTGAAATGAAAGCTAATGCATGTATTTTTATTTTGGGAGTGTATGGATACGCCCCATAACTGTACATGTGTATTTGTATACAGTTAAAATAATCATCTTTATATCTGTATTTCTGTGGGTTTTGTATTTATATTCACACCTTTTTCTTTAAACGATTCAAGTCATACATCATCCGGCAAAACATAAAGACTTATAATTAAACATTCCTTTGATTCTTTTTTTTTTTGCTACAATGTTTCATTTCTTGAAACTTTGAATATACTCTTTGAATATTTTTAAGAATTTTATAATTAACTTAACGTTTACGTATACAATGACTGTTTCATGGGGGTAAAATGACGTATAAGTGTTAAAGTACCAGGTATAATATTATTTTTAATTTTGATTATGTAACTCTTCATTGCAAACAATACTTTGTTATATTCAAGGTTGAGACATTTATCATGATGTATAAAACACATTGTCAGTGCATTCTTGATACAGCAATTAACGCAAATTTTGAAGAGGTAAGTTTTCTGAAACTAAACATTAATTATATATTTCATTGACGCATTGTATCTTTGAATATTAACCTATAAACATTTACAATGATTATACAAAGCAAACACATATTTATATATACAAATAAATGGTATTAGAATGTAAGACAAAGTTTTCAGTATATTCTACTCCCTTTATGTTTAGAAATAGTTAAAGATTTAGATATCTATATTAATGGTAGCGAAATTGCTATAGATGAACATTCAGTGTTCTTTCATCCGGCTTTAACTAAGGATACTGCCTAACGGAATGTTTTTTTAATAATATATATCAGAAAGTTAGTGTTCAGATATGTAATTTGTATATTTGATTATAGCATTAATTTTAATGCCAGTATTGTTAATATATATGTGGAAAGAAAAGCCTTTGATGGTGAGCAATTTGAGGGTACAGTCTCGTTAATTTTCATGACAAATATTTTTTTCCATTGTTAAACACTTCACTGGCCCATTCCTGTTTATATTTTACAAGATTTACTGCGATGACAATAAAACCTTTAACTAAAACGGATTTCTACCTTAGTGTGGGGTAATCCAGGGAGAGAAATGGTTTATAAATTAATTATTGTATGTTGCCATCCCTTTATCTAGTCTGCTTTAGGAAGAACAAATGTACATAAGTCAAGGATTAATGCAATTTGTAAAGAAAATATTGGCTTACATTTGTCTTAATGACTTTCCGCCAGAATTTATGACAAATACATGTCTTATCACGAAGCCGTTTAAAGCATGTAGAAGAAAGGGTAAAAAATGTTCAAACGATACCGAATTTCACCATATTTCTTAATATCGTGACAAAGCCGTCGTTATGCAAACATGGTTAGCTAATTATGTTTATTCTATTCTACTTTATAATCCGTTGCAAATTATTAGGAATGAAACGTAAGTCAAAAGCTATCGTTTCGTAAGAAATGTGTCGTATTACGGAACTTAGCAACAGCTTTAGGGTGTAGAAATCTGAAACAAAGAGCATTCATTAAAATTAATTTATAAGATAACTGCCCTGTCAAAAGATTAACCCATGCGCGAGCAACAAGCCAAATGAATTTAACTGTCGTAAAAAGCAATAACAGTCTAATACTCCATTCACCAACCATTAGACAAAGTCACAACCTATTTTAATTAAACAAATATAATCAATTTTATACAGATCCCGTGACCAGGACAAAAAAGAGAATACAGTTGACATATGTTTGCTTTTTTATTTCAGATTCAGAATTTCCTTCTGCATTTCTGGCAAGGACTTCCGGAACATCTACTGCCACTAGTAGACCATGAATTGATCATAGATCTTATTTGTGTTTGTGACTCCATTCTATATAAGGTACAACAAATAACTATGATTATACATAATATAAAAGAAAATAATTGTTAATCGATTTAAAGCAACAAGCGGTCAAAGACATCCAAAATTACCTAAATTTGTAACCTTTGAACGTTTTATCTTGTTTTCTTATTTTTTAACAGTCGAAGAATTAACGCAACATATGCGCATCAATTTAATTTTTAAAAGACCCCCCCCCGCACACACACAAAAGACACACACACATGATCATATTAAGATTATGCATTTATTTTGTTATCGTACCATCATGTTGTGTATAATTATATATACGTAAGTTGTATTGTTTATAGCTATATTTAACACAATGTATGAAGTGAAAACGCTAACTGCCTTTTAATAATGAAAATAATTCAACAACTAAGAATATATAATTTTATTTGTATTCACAGGTTTTAACAGAGGTATTGATACCGTCCACGATGCAAGAAATGCCAGAAACGTAAGTTTTTACATCATATATTTTGCCGTGATATCCAAAACGAAAGAAAAACATATATTTTTGAAGCATAGATATTTCCAGCACTACATTATTCATCTAATATTTGTCGCAATTATTGATTTGATTGTTTATCTAAAAGTCTTAAAACGTTAAAAACGCAAACACATAAAAAACGATACAAAATAGTTTTCACGCAATTACATATTGTTTTTGTAGGCTATTGTGTGACATCCGCAACTTCGCGAGGCACTGGGAGAATTGGATGTCAACAGCTCTGGATAATCTACCAGACAAATTGTCGGAACATAAATTACCAGTTGCAAGGAGATTTGCATCTGCTTTAAAACGACAAACTTCATTTCTTCATTTAGCACAGGTACAATGATTAAGATTTTGTCATCCTAGTTATTTTTGCATGCCATAAATTTCTCTATTAATAGGAAACTGAAAACAAGTTACTCACACAACATATCATGTCAAAGTAAATTTAACAAAATCATAAAGTTTCTGACTTTGATAATGTTTAAGTATTAATAGGTTTGCCATGCTGCCTTCTGAGTTGATTGTTATTTATAGATCATGTTTATTGTCTTAACATAGCATATTTAAATAACAGCGAATAAATCAACATTATCAGTATATACTTGTAATTTAGCTTTTTTCTGTGATTACAGACAGCCCGGCCAGTTTTATATGATGCTCAACTCGTCAACCAGATGATAAGTGATGTTGATCGTATAGATCTTACTTCTATCGGAACTCATGCATTAAATGCCAACAACGACGGTGATCAAGACATAGAACTAAACGCGGAGCGTGAGTGTAAAAACTATTTATTATAAACTTTATTTTTTCCCCAGGAAATATCTGTTGTTTCCTCAGAAAAAGTTAAAAGATTTTGGAACATTTCACGGTTTACTAGTATTTAAGTACATGCTTGAAAATCGTTGACACAAGTTGGCGATAAAATAAGAGACACATGCATGGTATAAAACTTGATATAGGCAAATATGTACATAACAAAATATATTTTACACAAATTGTAGGTGGCTAATAACTCCTAATAATTAACTATGTCATATTCTTATAATTTTGTATTTTTGCCTCATCGTGTCCAATAAAAAATTTGATAAGAAAGTTATAAAAACTGACGATGGAAGTAATATATTACTTTTCAGTGTTAAGGGAGTTCAAGGAACTTCTGCGGAAGCAAGCAACAGTCGAGGCGTTTACAGAATGGCTGGACCAAGTAGTCGAACAAAAGATCATTAAAGTAAGCATACATTGTCATCATGATGTAATAGTATGTCGACTTGAAGTTGAGAGACATAATTTAAATCTTTGAAAATAATATTGTTGGAATTCCATAATTAAACAAATAAATGCACCAAGCTTGCAATTAGACTTTATTGCATTTTAAATGGACTGATAACAACGTGGCGGTATTATGTGTATGTTGTCGCGGTAATGGTATTTGGTAGTTATGTATATAAGGAATGCAATGATAAAATAGTCAAATGATGAAATTATTTACTAAAAATTGCAATATTTTGTCTTTTAGCCAAGTAAACAGAATGGCCGATCATTTAAAAAAAGAGCACAAGATTTCTTGCTGAAGTGGTCTTTCTTTGGTGCTCGGGTTATGCACAATTTGACGCTGAACAATGCTCAATGCTTTGGTAAGTAAGATATTTGCTTTTCATTAAACATTTAACCATAACCACGGTAAATATTCATCAATGTCAGGAAAATTTCGATATAGAAAATGATAATACAAAATGAACAGGGAATAAATATAATATGATAATTTTGAAAGGGGATCAGTGATCATGAAGCCTGTATATCAAAGACAAGCCGCCAAACAAGTCTAAAAAATAGACAGCATTTTCTTAGTGTGGTTATACAGTATTCAGGCAGAAATTATGAAACACACCAACAAGAAACTCTTTGAATTGTTATTTGAAATGTTTTAAACATACTATATTTCTTTTTTCTTATTTGTCTAAATTGTAATATACCAAATTATAGTGCATGCACTTTACATTGTCAAGGAATTTACATGAAAACAAGTTATAAATAAATCTCGTTCCTTACAGCATCATTTCACTTGATAAGAATGCTTTTGGACGAGTACATACTTCTTGCTGTCGAATGTCAACTACATAATGAGAAAGAAACGGAAATACAAACTTTGTTAGATAAACATACAAAAGCTGGTAAGTTTTCTCGTTTTAAATTCAAAGTATGTTTCTATTTTTAAAATAGTGTATATTTTCTTTAATCTTATTTATTTTCTTCTCTATTTAGAAATTTCGGTTATCTTATTTTTATCGTTTTTTTTCCAGTAAATGCGCGATTACTCTTTTTACTGTTGATTTAATGTGTTCTATATTTATTCTTTATTCATACTTTGATCTTTTTTCCCATTTTGTAAAAGCTGACGTAATATTCAAGATAATAAAATATACATCATGCCAATGAATCTATTCATCATTGCGGTAAAAATATCTTGAATATAATATTCTTAATCCCTTCCATCACAATGCATATTGGATATTACTATATACATACATAAAGTTATTTCATTTTCAGACGAAGGGGGTGTTCGACAACCTTTGAACACAACACCGAGTACATGCTTTGTTGCGAACCGAATTACCAAGCCGAGTAATGGAGATGTGAAAAAGGAAAACTATCTGAATCACCAGATGGGTAATGGATCCTTCCAGCAATATCCGGGCTTAGCGGACCGAGATTTCAACAACCCATTGTTACCTTTACAGTCAATGGTAGGCTCTCAGGTAACTTCCCAACACAATTGTTAAAGTGTAAATTAAATATAATACAAATGTTATGGATTAAAGGCAAGATTATCATGACTTCTTTTACACTTTCATACGTACTTTTGACGAAGTGTCTATTATTTTTGTCCAGAAGGTAGATGTTGTCTAAATGTCTGTTTTTTATATTTTCATTGCATTCATTAAAGGGGTAGATACATTAATCATTAGAACACACTGCCCTGTAACCACAACCGGTACACTCACAGATAAATCAAAGCGTTATATAAACATATCATGCTTTGATTTACCTTCTTTACTATAATAATTATTCTTATAATTTCAGCCTATCAACGGACACATGATGACTCCACCAATGTCACCTATTGTTCCAAATCCTACTAGAGGTTCAGTCATCAACCCTGGTCCATTGTTTAATCCAGCTGCATCTCAAACATCGTCAATTTTATCATCTTCATCGTTTCCTTATATGGGTATGTGAAATATTATGTTCTTCAATGCATTTGCATTTCAATGCTTGGTCGTACATTTTGTAAGGTCACGTGATCGCTTTATTTTCTATATTAACAATTGTAACAATTTAGCCAATCCTAAAACGTAATGAATAAGCAAGTTTGTTCAGTCAAAGTCCAAACATTCACATTCGAAAGCAAGGTCGTATTATGAATTAAGCCTAATGTCATGACTCCTAAATCACTGTGATAAACCAGTAACTTTTGAAAACAGAAAGTCGAATTTTCAAAATTTGAAAAAGTGAACGTTCTTTTCGTTTCTTTTTCAGCTCAAGAATTTCCAAGTGCGGGATCATCACATATAAACAGTTCTTGGGGAGGAGGAGGAACAAATAGTGCTTTTAGAAACCCATTTTACAATTCCAGTTTATATTCATTTAAAAACGATTTTGACCCATACAACCCTTACACGGACAGTGCGGATTTATTTTACAATGGATTTTCGTCCTTTCCTGCACCACAACCCGTGTCACAGTCTAGTTTTCAAACAAATTCACTACACCAGTCCGGTTCTGCGTTTAACATAGTTCCGACTGGTACAAATTCAGGATTTTCCAGCAATCAACCAGCTTTTCCGCAAGGTATTAACCATACGTTATTTTATTGATAGACAGTTTAGTCTTTTAACTTCATGATGTGTTAATGATATATTTTTCTTTTTGGAAATGTGATTTCAATCAGGGACATAATATAATGATATTATTTCAGATTTCGGTTTCGCTGGCAGTTCATTTAATCATTCACAGAAACCTATAGCCGAATATGTTCCTGTTATACAGCCTCGACCACAACTTACTCAGTTCACACCCGACTATACAAATGACACATTGAATATTCTTGACAAACCTCATCGTCATAAGGACACATCAAACTTCTTCAATAGTTCCAGTCCGGCCAGTTGTCATAGCCCAAGGCATCATGGTGAGTCAATATAATATAAGTAGTAGTACACCCGTGATATTTTTTAAAGCAAGAGGAGTTTAGTTTAGATTAGTGTATGTTTGTATGAAAATTTTGACGGCGTTCTAAATGTTTTAGATAAGTGTTGAGGTGTTCAAATAAAGTGATAAAACCAAACTCCAAAGTCTTTATGATCCATTGAACTTTCTTACAACGTACCAGAATATTCAAAAGTATTGGTCACTGCGTTAGTAATTTGGTATGAAAATGATAATAAAATAATTTCGGGAAAAAAACGACAATCCAAAAATATTTCATACTACGTACAGTATTTTGTTTGACTCCCTGGACAAATGTAGTTTTAGTTTATCATCATCCAAGTATAAAAATGTTGATAATTCATGTATGTTTTTTGTAATGTAAGAAAAACAAATAATTGTGAAGGATACTGTTGTAAACGAGATGAATACATGTCAACATGTATAAACTCACATTTATCAGTTTTATTAAGATTTCGTAACTGTTATGTATTGATATGACTCCTATAACAAACTGACCACATAAACAATAATTCATTATTCAATTGTTTGAAATTGTGACACTTTTCACAGAATCAATACAGCTTAATGTAAAGACATGAATTACATATCATAGAGAACAAACTGGTCAAAATGAAACATTCTAAGTGTTTGTTACATGATACTCTGACTGTTTCAAATTTGTCTGATTTTGTTTATCGGTTCCAACCTGTTTTAAGTTAGAATTTAATTGATTAAAATGTGAACTTTATTTATTTTTGTATGTTTCAGATAACATGAGCTCAGATGATATTCTAAACATAGCATCTTGTATGACTGGAATGATTAATGTTGACCATGAAATTCATCAAGGTTTTACAGATCCTGGACCTCTACCGTCAATTAACACGGTGTTTGACGCTGGAAAATCTGTCTATTGACATGTTAGAAAGTGAAAATAATAATATAAGATTCAAACGCTGTCTTATATGTATTATACGAGAGTTATATTAGGTTAGAATGGACATTGATGGCTCATCATGGTGATGTTTCTATTCAGAGGAAAACCTGCAACACAAGACCAGCTTGTATGTCAAATGCAAGGAACAACATAATAAGCAAAGAAACAGCGACAACTAATGAGTGAGGTGAAATGTACGAGTAATGTCTCAGATAAAAAAAAAAAGAAACAACTAAGCATGGGAAATTAACAAGAGTTGTACCAAGTGCGTCATTTAGTGACATGATGACGAATGTTTACAGTAATCGATGTGTTGTTATTGATGTGTTATCGAAGCTATCACACATGGTAATGTAAGGATAATTATAACAACCTTAATTTCAACATTGTTAACATGTGACTATTGAGAGAACTGGGAAAGTGACATTATGCTTTGAAGAGGAACATAACACTGTGCTTATATTGTTAAACATTTCTTACTTAAAATAAAACCTTTATTTATAGAGTAAGGAACTTGAATATGAAATACCATGTAAATATAACTACAAAAGTATTCGAAAACGAAAAGCTGACAAACCTTTAAAATCCATAAATTGTGAAAAGCAATATATCTTGCAATATTGATGATTAACTATTATTCAAAAAAGAAGCGGTATATGTAAAGTAAACGATTAGTTTTCTTCGCTGAAGGAAAGAAAAACAACAACAACAACGGAGTAATGTGCGCAATGATACATATAAATATTCAAGACTATTTTCATCCGTTCCGTAATCATAGTATCCAGAGCAATATCGTAAATACATTTGAACTTTAAACGTGTGCAATTGATTTTATGGCCCTAAAATAATGTAGACATATATATAATGTAAAGCTTCATTGTTTTGAAAGTCATATAAACACACGTTGCAATCTCTACTGCATTGTTGTTATTTTTATTGTTAAACATTGATATCTGTAACATGTTATGTGTAAGTTATAAACATGTATTAGAGATTTTATTTTTTCACTATTATTTTTTTCAATTCCATGTTAATTTGTGTCTGAAATACGTCACAACCGAGCTGGGGCAAGATCTGATTTAGATACGGAGTATAAACCGTTTAGAAAATATTTACTTTTACTGTTTTTATCAAAATGTATTGGAAGTATGCTGTTGAAATTTATTCTATATTATATTTTTGAACGAAAGTCTATGGTAGAATTTCATTTGTCTTGATTCTTGTTAAATTTTGTAAATTCCCAATTGGAACTGAGTGTTTTGGAAATTAATATGATGAATGCTATGAATATGCTCATCTTGCCTGGATAGGAGGTCGATATGTTTGGTTAGTAGCATGAATTATATATGTGCGATCTTTGCAAACTAAAAATAACTTACTGAAGCTTATAAAAAGACTTAAAGTAAAGCCTACCGGTTTATGAACTCTAACCCCGCTATATATCTCATATGAACTTGTCCATCTTTCAATCTGGACAAAATTATTCATCGTTTCAGAAAAAAACAAGCTGAAAAGCCATGATATGTTGTTGCCATCAGGCTAGGAGTTTATAAAAGTACAAGGTCATGCTTACAAAAGTAACTTTTCCCCAAAACACTTTAATTACCTCTCTGTAAACAATGAAGATCAGGAAACATTCAATCAGACTTTTTTATCACTGTGTTTGAATATATGTGTTTGTGTGTGTCAGCTTTGTCATTGCTACAAATGTTTATGAAGGATTTCATGTAAATTTGTTTCTGAAAATTGCAATAATTTCATATAATTTTATGCAGATTTTTACGCGAAACATATCCTAGTTCTTCACATTATATTGTTGTTGTATGCGTTTGTATGTACTATTTTGAATATCAGATATGACGGATTAAAATAATGAAAATGTTAAAGACTAGTTTCATGTTTATCTTTTTTACGCTTAATACGGTGATGGGGATGTATAAAGAACAACTTCAGTGTATGTTTTATTCTTTATTGCAACCGATCCTAAAGCAAGTGACAGGGTTGAAAAATAAATTCATTTACACTTGTAATTGAAGTTAAACAAAACAATATATACAACAGAAATATATCATGGCAACCATAACAGAAACAATATAGTTGTATAGAGAAACAGCGAATAACACATACATCTTTACAATGAAACTGCGAAAACAACACGTATATTTTACAAATTTACAATGAACGACAAAATGAACTAAATTATATTCTTCAATGAAAACAGATCAAAGGAATTCTTGCATACAACTTAAATGGTCCAAGGCCTAGCTCATGAAATATTTTACAGCAAAATTACGTTGTTTCCATAATCATAAGGTTAATATTTTTGGACCAGTTGAAACGTATTAAATGTCTCCGGTAATTAACACACATGAACATTATATGTAAACAGAATAAAATATTCCGAACAAAATATTATACTTATATTTGCGATTTCGTGCATGCATCATTCGCTCTTACAGATAAAATCCAACATATTTCTTTTACACAGGTATTTTGGATTCAAAAATAAAACAACAATTTTGTGAACTAAAGACAGTAGATAGAAGCTTTATACACTTAAGCAATAAAATAGCAAATAACTTATGTAACTTTACAATGAGACAACCAGTTTTACAATTCAACGGCGAAACAGAACATAACACTTTACAACAAAACAACAAAAACAAACAAATATATCTATACAACAAAACAGTAAACAATGCTGTAACAGTGAACAACTCATAGATATTTTTACATTGAAGTCATATATTCACATGTAACATAACCTTTTAACAGAGAAAATACATATAATTTTTACAATTTTCTTATAACAAATATAACTTTACAATAAAACAGCGAACAAAACACACATGACTTTACAATAAAACAGTGACTTACAAATGTAACTTTAATTTTGAAACTGCGAAAACAAACTCACATTAGTGTTATAGGAATCAGGGAATAGAACATTTATACCCTTGTAATGAAACGGCAAAAAGAACAAAATCATATAACATGAAACAAAGGAACAGATAATAACACATAAATGGAACAACAACAGTAACAACAACAAATGTTTAACACTTAAATGGAAACAACTTACATACAATATGAAATAAATTAGTAAAAACCTGTATGTTTAATAGGGAAAGATAATAAATAAGAATACATTAAAATAAAAATAAAAAGAACTATCATATATAAGCATCTCAATGTGTTAATTGTATAATAAGCTTTAAACATCTTTAATCTGGTCACTGATTAACTATTAGATTTCAAACATTTAAGGAAAATAATAAACTTTTCATATTACATGGATCATGTAAGTGAACCTTTATACTGCTCCAAAGTTAAACATCTACCACCAATATAGAGGCAGGTAAGAATACAAACCAGTGTAGCCTGACAAAGCCTTATACAGTTTGCTGAAACACTTCAAATTTTAATTTTGATACCATCAGAACTTATAATGGACTGTTCCAAAAACCGGAAGTTTTTAAGTCTATAAATTCAACATGATTAAGGATTAAGCAAAGAGAAACTCAATAAAAAACTGATGTTCAAAATAATCAGTGAACGAATACAAGATACATTTAAACATTAATATCAGCCTTGTATTGACATTATTTTTTATGCAAATGAAGTATCAATAAAACATAACGACAATGAGCAGATAAGATGATGTAAGAAAAGATATTTTGTTAAATGTTGATTTCTTTCTAGTTTTTACATGAATAAGTCCTCTATCCATTGTAAATACTCAAAATTTGGCAATAAACAACAGTTTGTGATTGGCTTTGGTGCATACATGTAAAGGTTATACACCAAAAACCGCAGGATAAGAAAATAACCACTATTACTTGTATGTTAAAAATTCTATATAAATTGTGCCTCAAATACTCGTACATAATAACATTATGGTATTTGAAAGGTTAAAACTTTCCCTTTTCTTAAAAACGGCATGTCTCAAGAGTAAAAGTCAATTGCTTTTCTTTTCGGTAGTTTTCATACCACAATAACCTTAACTTCAAGAAGAAACTTTCAAAACCGAAAAACTTCTAGAAAAAAGGCAATCGTTACGACATTATGGTCAAGCAATAAACCCTTTCCAAATTGAAACTGAATCTGAAAAGCCTCTATGCAACCTGACTTGGTTCTGTTGGCTGACCAACTTCAAATTTTCATCTTGATATCCACAAAATTGATGATGGACAGTTCCAAAAATGGACACTCGTCAAGTTCATTAAAGAAATTCAGCAGTTTAAAGGTAAATGATAACATTACAAAAACAACGGACTGCAAACGTAACAATTAAAACATAAACATAACGTAACAACGTTGAATGATTTAAGAAGAAGCGCTCACAACAAAAGTTGAAATAGTAGAAGGGATACACGTATTGGAAAGTAGAGAAACAACAATCTAGGTTAATTTTAACTACTGTTTTTACAACGAACAATATAATAATCATATAGTTAGTGTATATATACAAAGATTGTCTAAGGACGTATACATAATAAATTAAAAATAGTAAATAATATGCAAAACATAACTATATTTCTAAAAGAAAGATATCTATAAGTTTATCTATTGTCTAAATTATGAAGAAAATTTAAATTGACCACAATATTACAGTTTATAATGTAATATAAAGCAAACATTTAGCTGTCAGACAAAACATAAGTTGTTTACATAAGTATATGTTATAATCTTTCCGAAGGCTACAATTCAACTTGTATTTATTCAGATACATGTAATTGTTTTGTCAAAACATTATTTTCATCAAATATATGTTTCTAAAAACAGTAACAACAACAAAAAACAAACACACAAATAAATATGTAGCAGCAGAGGTGTACAAAAAATGTAAGGACTAGAATATTAGGTGCGCGTAACCATGGCAATACAATGGATCATTATTGATTATTATATGAAACTTACAATGAATAATTAAATTGTACACTCCTTTGGAAAAAAATCATAAAATAATTCAAAATTAAATTTAGCCCCAAAATATAAATAACTTTTGAAAGTTTGAACATTCAATATACATTAGGAATAAATTACCAATAAATGTCAGTGCTTTCTTTCTACAAATTTATCACCTGTTCAATATGAAAAGGAAACAATATGAAGATCCGAATACATCAAACAATTACACAACTATCATACATTAACAAGATAAAATCACAAAAAAAATCTTGTGCGAGACAGGGCAGTCCTTGTGTCAAAAAAGTTAAAGTCAAAACACCAATCTGAATGTTCTAATTTTCCCTGCCATTGTCATTTATCAATGACACCTTCATTAACTTAAATTGAGTGACAGGCTTTAAGCTGATTGAATATCTGCATCTGTTTAAAAAATTCATACATGTTAAAGATAAACTTTGTTCCTACTAACTCTCTTTCAACAAAAATTTCTCCCCGGAAAGAATATTGTAAACTTGGGTTATATGCAAAGAACTCAAAGAGTAAAAAACAATAACGAGTTCAAATTGTGACAAATATATAATTATAAAAAATAATTTAGAGATACCCTAAGTTCCATTATAAAGATATTTACACTGAGAAATGACGAAAGTCAAACAAGTCTATGTTTCTTCAATCTAACAACAGAAAAACTTCAGAAAAAGCAATTCAGGCACCAAAGGGAAATAACTTGTTATAAATATGGACTATGATGTATTTAGAGTAAAGTTTTCCTTGAGGATATCATTCTTAGCCAAGTAAATAATTACAATGTTAAAATACTCGCATCCTTCAATATGAATAACTACATATTTTCGAGAACTGTTTCCATATTTGTTTTGCAAGACTGTCAATGTTTATGTTAGATACCTAATTAAAACAAACCTGTGCCTTTGGTGCTTTAAAAATCTTTGATATAAACAAGATACGACGTGTAGAGGAATTGAAGTAAAAAAAATGTCTTATATTGCTTAACAGAATCAAAAGATGATTTCAAGTATCTATCCACAACATCCTTTGCCTTTACTTAAAGTTTTGTCATGAAGCTGTAACCCGCTTTCTTTTACCTCGAGATCTTCATTTGCTCGCATCAATCTGCAAGTATGATTATTAAAGAATATCATATTCAACTAAATATTTAATCAATCTTTTTAAAGTTATTATTTACTGCCATCCATTTTCATTTTTGCAACATTGGTTAATGCTATGGGTTGTCCTAATCAATATTTTGGCGATACTTTAAAGCAGTTGAGAATGTATTAGACAACCAGCATCACCAATATTGAAATCCTCTCAGCTTTTGTGATAATATTATCATGATGATGACATTACTTTTATCGCCATGTTCAGGTTCAGGTGGAAATATTTATCATATCAAACATGTGTAAAGAAAATACCTTGTAAGTTCCACAACGGAATCAGTAACATTGGAGCCATCCTTCGCACTTGTCTCGATGAACAATGCACTATATTCCTGACAATAAAAGAAATTGCACATATATGAATTTCAAAATAATAATTGCACATGTAAATGTGACAAATTTTCAAGTTTTTGTATTGGAATATAAAATATAAAACTGCATAGATCTGCAAATATTTCAACGTTATTGATATAATAGCTGATACCTATTTTTATATCAGAAAATACAGAATATTTTAATTAAATGAATGAAAATCGTATGATATATGGCAGGAATATTAAAACTTATAACAAAAGTGCCTAGTCATATGTAACCTTTTAACATCAATTTATTAAATTGCTGGGTGACACTTTGACGACATTAAATTAAACTTTGACACATGATTAGCTGAATACTGTAACTGTTAATTAAATCTGTCAACACATGGGAGTGGCACGTCTACTAACCACTCTTCTGTCATGAAAACTAATGAGTTAATTAAGAAGACACTTCTTAAAAATGAAATCATAGACATATGTCAACACATTTCAATATCCACTTGGACTACTAGTAATTAAAACATATAGAATCTGTAAGAAACAATCTTACTCTCGCTAATCGTTGCCCATCATCGTATGAGACTACAGTCCTACCAAGACGCTCCGCTTCAGTGCGCATGTCTGTTTTATTGCCGCAAAGCATTATAGGTAACTTCTTGATTGATCCATCCTGAGAAGACTTTAAAAGTGGGAATCATCTCATATTATGACAATGATTATAAAATTACAAATGTATATGCATAAAAACGTATAAGTAATTCAAAATTTAGACAAACACTCATTTCACTCACGTTTAATCAAACTTAATGAAACTCTTTGTAGCCAGATTTAACAGTTCAAATTCACATTATTTTCAAATTTGAAGTAATTTTCGTTTATGTCAAATGAGGTTAATCACTAACGTATTATATGGTTAAAGTAACTCAAACACATGATAGACATATGTCAACACATTTCAATATCCACCCGGACTACTAGTAATTAAAACATATAGAAACATATAGAAAATGAAAGGACACCATTTCCAATTATTACAACATTATACCCTTAGATAAAATACTAACTTCTAAGAACATTTGACAAGAGTCTGATAACAATGCAATGCTGACAAGTGTAAATTAATATGCACAACCAAATGAGTTCTAATTTGTCAGGAATATGGTGCATTAAATTTTGAGGCAAACTCAAAAGATGGTTCAAATATTACTGATTTCATTGTCAAACTGACAAGGAATTTCTTGAACATGTAAATACTTTTAATATTTTAAACGTCAAAACGTGAATGAAATATAAATACGTATTAACAAACTTAACAGATTTTTTTTAAATATACTAAATACACTCAAAACTATGCTTAAGTGGCGCTAAGATCATGTGGTTAAGACATCTATCTTTTCAACCTAGGGGTTCAAGAGTTCGGCTCAAATTAGAACTCAGCAATGCTTTAGCGCAGAAGCAGTGTAAGATGAGGATTGAAAAAATAATTATATTACGCCGATAGATTTATTCGAATAATAATAATAATAATAATAATAAAGGCCAATAGGTTCATTCAAATTTGGAGTGCAATAAAAGCCAATAGCTTTATTTAAAAAAGAAGATAAAATAACGACCAATAACCGCTTTCAATTTTGAAGTAGAATTAACTTTAATAACTTTATCAAAATAACTGAATTCAAAAGTAGAAAATAATAAATACACAGACTTAATATAAATATGAAATGATATAAAGTGGTTGTAAATCAACATATGAGAGGTGGTCAAAGAAAAAAAACACGTGATGTTAAATACCTCGATGGAGTCCATCCATTCTCTGATACTCGTGAATGAACGTTCATAGGTACAATCATATAAAAGCAAAACACCATCTGCTCTTCTAAAGTAAGATTTAGCTATACTGCGAAATCTGTAATCAAGAACATGTCAACTCAGTTAAGCAATAAGTCTATCTTTTTAAAGAAGCTATTTATCATATTGTTATTTTTGACGATGATTATTTAGAAAGGGACAAAGAAAAAACAAACAAACAATGAAACCGGTTTGGGTACGTCGATATTATAATTGACATGAGTAAAGCAGAGTTCTACGAAGACAAATGGTTGTTAGACTTAATGAAAATTTTACACGAAAAAGTGTTATTATAGAGCATAAGTTTGATTTGGATAATTGTTACTTCACAGCCACAATAAAAATATTTTGATATTGATGATTTATGTAAATGGCAACACATCAGATAATCATGCCTTGCCTTATGATAACAGATATGTTATATTTTATTCCAATGTAACTGGTAAAATAAGTAAAAAACACAATTTATAATGCAACACAAAAAGGCTTATGTAAAAGAAATATGTTAAACTTTGATGATATATGTAAAAACGGTAATAATTACCGTTCTTGTCCGGCTGTATCCCAGAGCTGAAGAGCAACCGTGCGACCATCTAGTTCTATCATTTTTGTCTGGAAATCAACGCCTTGAAAATAGATTTAAATCTCGTATTATATATATTGATAACTTATGCAGATTAGATTCAAAATTCAGTGAATTTAACGTTTATAATCAAAAATGATTATTTTTCTTTAACTTTACCAATGTTGAATGTATTTGCTAAGAGTAATAGATCTATGGCATAAATGCCTGTACATAAAAGCAACCAATGAAGAAAGTAAGAAGTACTTACCTAACGTTGAACTTAAATTTTCTACGAATTTCCCCTTGCAAAGCCTCATAATGAGACTAGATTTTCCGACAGCAGCATCCCCTGCCAAAACAACTTTAAACATTCTTTCTGGGTCTTTGTTCACCTTTGGTGTGGTCTGAAAAAATAAAAATAACCCCACTGCTTACATTTTATCCATAGATAATTCTTTCTTTTGAATCAGTTATTTACATTATTATTTCATCCATTAAAGTGTAATATTCGGAATATATGATTGAAAGCAGCAATCCAGAAAATGCATCTACTTTCAAATACTATACATTTACTTTAAGGAGTTTTGTACACAACAAAACTGAACATTATATGAAAATAGGAAATGGTAAAATATAACACAGTTACGTTTCTAAAGACAGCATGAATATGTCTACCAGTTAATGCATTAAAAAGTAATATGTTATGGTAAATGACAATGTGTCCATTGTCAAATAAATAAATAATTTAAACAAACTGTTAGGTAAAAAGTCTCCCTCAGAAGCAATTAAAACAACAAAAGTTCATGAAAAATGCAGACTAAGTTTGACTGAGTTTGTTCATTAGGGATAATGATAAAGTGCAACATCCCTCACGCCCCCTCACACCGGCTCAAGCGGTATTTAATCTTCAACACTTAATTTGCTGGAATAGATGATACTAAAGGACCAGTAAAATATAACAACTCTTTAAACAAAACTTACATCTTGAGTTAAAGTACTTTGTCTTCTATTAAAGCTGTCTCGAGATCTTGAACTTCTAGTGGAAGATGACCTACTGCTGCCTGAACCTATTCGTCTGTCGACAACATTACGATATAGTTTAGCATCTACACAATCCATCGGACCCATTTCTGATTCTGTATCCAACTCGTCGTTAGAATCTATGTCCTATTATTACAAGTAATTTTTCTTTTAACCATTAAGAAGACGTATATATTTTTGTATAAAATCATGCAAGGGTATATACGAGTAAGTACCCCTGTAAGGCACCGAAATTGGAAACAAATATCTGGCAATAAAGACTTGATTATTTCCGCCTGTATATGAGAGATAATGAAAGTACAGCATCTTTCATGTCCCAGCACCGAGATTAGCGGTTTGCAAAAATAACTCTGTTGGATTAAAATTCCTTTACATCAAAATGAGCAGTATATTATAGTTTAATCATAGCGAATAAATAAGAATTTGAAACAGTTTCATAAAATATTACATCCCCTAAGTAATTTAATGTTATAATACAGAGTAAGGGATAAGGGGAATTTAAAGAAATAATATTAATAAAAAGTCAACGTCATGAAGTAGAACATCTAAATACCGATGTATCGTATGATCAGAGAACTTTTGTTTTACAATAGATTGCAAATAGCTGGACAACGAGTGTCAGATGTATCTAAAGAACTTATTTAAAAGGTTTTTGTAATTGATAAACTTAAAATTATTATGTATCAGTATAACAAAAAGGGCGACTAGTAACTAAACAGAGCAGACCTCGAGCATGGGTAGATCTCTGTTAGATCTGTTCCGTCTATGACGTTTGTCAGCCATCAATCTGTGCATGGTTTCCGCATCGTTTAGAAATGCTTCTCTGTCAAGATCGTTTTCGTTCCCATCTCTTAAAGTCGAGTGACCACTGTCTTTTTTTAATAAATAAAAGGTTGAATCATAAACTTTAAAGAGTTAAAAGCTATATCTAATGAAATATTTTTATGATATTAAACAGTAAAATCATGTTGTTTCGTTGATACTCAAAAGAGACGCAACGTTAAATATTTCTGTTATTTATCACGCAGGAGTATTGTGCTGAAACAGAAACGTTACAGAACAAAATATTATTCTGTAGTTTCAAGTAGGCTTTTAGGCGTTTAGCAATGATTTCTTGCATGCGTAATTCGCTCTTAGAAAAAAATCGTTCATACATATATTTTGGAGTTATTCTACTAAAACAATATACAATATATTTGGAGAGTGCAGGTAACAGAGATATAGCTTTATACAATTTAATTTTGCCATCGTAAATTGATAGCGATGTTTTTATTTAATTTTGATTGCTGTATTGGTTAGTGTAGACAGCAGAAGAAATGAAAATATTCACTGATGTTATATAACGCTAATTTTTATTCCTATCGTTTATCATTGGATGACCACTGTCATGGTGAATGATTTAATGTTGAAACATACCGTAGACTTTAATAACAATATTTCATTCATTTTGAATGATCTCTTGGATTGATTAGAAAAAAATTCACCTGGAAATATTTTTTCTTTATCGAAATAAAATTACAAATGTACATTTATTGATTTGATAGTTATATACAATGTTTTGTTTTTTTGCAGAATCTGATTTTTTTTTATCTTTAATCCATAAGTCTGATTAACATCCTCTTTATCTAATAAGTTCAGTGCCGTCAGTATTTCAAGAAGAATTTCTATACTTCAATAAATGTAACCTTGCCTATTTTACTCAGCTAGCTGGTATATCAAAGACAAGTTTGACTTAGATTGACTTACCTATATCTTCTAGAATACCTCCATCCGATTCACAAGTATCTTGATGCGGTAATTTTGAAGGAACAACTCTAGATGAATGTCTAGCGAGATTCTGTACTGTTACTACAGACGATGTTTGTGGCTCCTCTACTAAAGACGACTGTGATCCCATCCGTGAACGGATTCTGAAATTGCAGAAATGGAATTAAAGTAATATTGCGGGTAACCATAAGAAAAAAGATAACAATATATAAAACATCTATATGACAGAATCACCTATCCAAGAATAAGTGAATAACGAAGATTTAATATTTTATTAGAAAGGGAGTATTGTTTCTAATGAATGCACAAAACTAAGGAATATTATCGTATGGTGATTTATATTTTTATAAATAAATTGTACGTATATGATTTGATAAACAAGATCAACAAGGAAAGGGGGCGTTCAATGACTCATGGGTCTTTTGTAAATGAATGCATTAAATTTTACTTACAAAGGAGTACTTTGAAAATATTCACTCATTAGAGAACCCCGTCTGTAATCTGGAAGTGTGGTACCAACTGTACTTGTATTAGACTGGAAATAATTTAACATAAGTTTAAACAAACGAGTGTAATACAGAACTTTTACAAAACAACAGCCTAACTCGAATGCATATTTTCCAATGTAGCATTTGGATTCTTAATACTTTTTGTAAAATTCTTAAATAAGCTAAGCAAACCACACCGACATAGAACTTATCACAGTGCAAAAAGTTCACAGGAATGTACGTGGTTTAAATAATAAGGAGACGCTTCATTACACTGATCCATAACTTATTTACTGTATTAATTAAAACGTGAGTTGTTAGTATATCTTGTGTATACTTTTTATTATGAGTATACATTATAGTTGCTGTAATTGTCAGATATAAAAAGCATTCGACGCTTTTGACTCGATGGTCGTTTTTTGTCCAAAGACCTCAATTAAAATTGAATGAAAGATGGCAGCTAATTGAAGAAAAAAAGGGAATTGAAAAAAAATGAAGAAAACATGCATTTGGCAATCCGAAAGTGAAATATTTTGTGTAACATAAAGCAACCCTGGTGTAGTTATATTAAAACATATGACCAAACTTATAAAGCCAAATCTGTGACATTAAAATGATGAAATTAATTTAGATAATTATAGTACCCTAGAAAAACAAAACATGCCAAAATGGTTTTGGAATCATTTTATTTTCTAGTGAAAACAGAGAGTGTTTAAATATATCATGCATCTCTTATTTGGATTCTAAACAAGCGTATTTTAAATTTTTTATAATAACATATCTTTAACTGTAAAATAAGCGACATCTTGTGGAATAACTTAAGACATAAATTACTTTTGAAAAAAAGGCCTACGGTCTTTGTAAATACATTCTTAAGAGACAAAAATGTCAGTACAATGTAAAGTTACAAATAACTATTAATTATTGTGCTTTATTCAGGAGTGATATTTGTAAACTTAAGGAATAGTGTTGTTTTAAAAAATATGGAAGACAGTTGAGTTAAAGGCAATGATGTTAAAATCGTAAAGCCCAGTCAAGCATATCAAAGCTGGGTGATTCTTTACCAAACTCTTACACGTACGCTGACTGCTATTTTCTCTTCGAAACCATGATAAGGTTGATAACCCCTGAAAAATCATTTCTTGTTTTCAATGACAAACAGCCCCTATCTACAGAGGATGCATTACTCTACATGAATATATAGTAATGAGTCTCACAGTGTATTATAATAATATATACATGTATACGTAGGTTAAGATATAGTAAAATTACAAATTGTTACACTATGTATGTAATTTAAATTTGGCTACAAAATACACGTAAGGTTAATCAAGTAAATAAGTCTTTTAGAAATACAAAATGTCTGTATAGTTCATGTTCATATTTTATCACCTTTCTTTGTGTGTAAGATTTAGATTTGCTTAACTGAAATTAAAAATAAATATCTATTAAGAAACACACTAATATAAAAAGCAAAAGAAATATGAAAAATATAATATGAGAACGCAGTCCTACACAGACACAGCATCCAGTGGGGCACCGAAAAGTAACAAGCTGTGAACGCTGGCAATATACAATAGAAAGTCAGAGGAGACAAAAAACAAGACGTTATGACTTTGTTGTTTTCACCCCGACAGGACAAAGGATTGAAAAGGCATAGACACAATAGAAGTCATCATTTGTCGTAACACGACAAGAGGAAGACAAAGTTACGCTATCTTTTGCCCTTTGTCATGATCAGTCGAGATGGTAAAACACAAAGAACACACGAGAACAAAACATATACAGTATTCCTTCGTTGATTTTTAAAACGTTTCGATTTTCCGGCTGACAATGTACAGTGCACATAAATTTACTTACTGTTAAAGATTGCTGACGTATGGGAGAAGCCCGGCGAGCAACTTCAACCGCTTCACGGAGATCATCGTTAGTATCGTGAAGGCGTTTGTTAGCGTCACTGCAAACAAATCAGTGACAATAAGTTACAATGTACACCAAATACAGTCATATAAATCAAGATAATCATTTTAAGGTAGTGTAACTCTAGTACTAAGACGATGTTTCAAATATTGGGCATTAAAAGCGGATCGATGTTTTAGTGCCCTGGTGCTTAAAAGCTCAGGTTGTTCGCCTCACAACACAAGTGGTTCGATTCATTTTCACGTCACGATCATGGTGTGTTCAAATAAGCTGTCGTGAAAATTAAAAAGGTATAACTGCAAGAACTTGTTTCACACTTAAAATAAAATAATCATGTTCAATCTTGAGAATTAAGAAATATAGATCACGTTACATCAAAAGAAATGCGTTTTATAAAAGTTGTAGTTATTATCTGGCATCTTGTATCTTACTAAATTTCACGCATATCCCTCAGAAGATCGTATATATGTATATAAGTAAATAATAATATCATCTAATCAATATAAAAGTTAAAAATACATTTACATGCAATAGTAGTTGAAATATAAAATCTTACTGTAAAAGGTGCAACTGTCTGGTTAAATTTTCTTGTTCTCTCTGGTAATCACTATTAGATTCTTTTTCCCTAAATACAAGTAAACACAAATGTCAGAAACGGCCAGTTTGATATTTTATATACATAAACGATTCATTAGTAAGCATGTAAAAGATTCGATTTTAATCACTTGAATCAGGTGGCATAAATAGTAACAATAAAAGAATCAAATCTTCTAACATAGAAGTGAGAGTATCACCCGCTAGAAAAAGTACATGTATTAAGTAATCAGGTACAAGAAAACGAATATTATTTAAACAATATATGAATATCAAAAGCAAGGCTTTCATTTTGCATAAACATCTATGATGCTCTATTTCAAAATGATATACAATGTATATGCAATGTTTTTGGGGTTAAATTTTAAATGTTAAAGTTGTTTCTTGCGTACCCTATTTTCATTAACAATATTTGTTACAGATTGCACAATATATATTGTATAAAATACAAATGTGGAACCAGTCTCAAACGGACAAGATAAATAATTGGTCCAAATTTATCATACGCAAGTTTTAACCAATCAAAAGCGATGTACTAGTATACTGTACCAATCAGAAACTATGATATTGTGACTGGTTCCTGGTAATTTCTAGTAATAAATCATTGTTCAATACAGATTACCGATGAGTCACGAGAATAACTTTAAGACATTTTTTGCAACAGCTGACAAAACAGAAATGTCATAACAATGTGACATATGTCACTTTTATCATTAAAACATATAGAAGCAAAGAACATATACCCACGACTGATTGATTATATCTTTACTGAATGACTACTGTATTCTATTACCAAGAAAGTAGGTATGTATATATGTAAGATGCATTTTTGAACAACAGTTTATGTATTAAAGACTGGTTAAAGGATTTTATTTTGAATCAAATATCATAACACATATTGCTCTAGACCAATGACTCTAGTCCTATCGCCAGAATAGTGAAAGTGTTTCAGTCATGTTTAAGCGACGAACATTAAAAATCTAATCAACAAACTATCTTATATTATTTTTCAATAGATGTAAGGCTTACAGTATGGTATGGCGTTCTTTTTAAATAAAATGAATAAATAACGCACGATGTGACATGCTGGATCACTATTTTATAAATAATTGAATGATGTTCATCAAATGCTGCATGACATGCAGATACATGTTAAAGTTACATTAAATAAATTTCATAAAAAAACAGAAATAGCGACATTTCATTAATAAATTAGTTTCTTATCGACTCCAGACCTTATTTTGGTGTCCAGACAACCAGAATGTGTTTTATGAGCATAAAAATGTGCAGCCTCATTGTGGCGAATTCGGAAGTACAATTTCTGTTTGCATGAGAAACTCCGCCTTCGGATCATCCGTACATCAATATTAAATCAACAAACATGACTATAAGTAGCAGTCGTAATTTAACGGTATATTTCTGCATTGTAACGGATATTTTCTACAAACTTAATCTTTTTTTATGAGATGATTATTTTTTCTGAACCCAGGCCTAGTGCACCGTGAAGCTTAAACGGTTAAAGTGTGTTTGCACAAGAAAATCTTATATTTTCTGTGTTCCGGACAGCACATATAACACCGTGACGTAGCGCATACACGGGCTGATTATAGTCTTCATTTGGATGTTAATATTCGTATACGAACTTTAGTGTTACCGTGGGGTTTTCCATTTAAAATCCTAATTTATAAACAATATTTGATGAGATTTACAACAATACTGTTAAAAAGGTTAATGAAACTGTAGAATGCTTGGTTTTTAGGCTGACGTAAAAATATTTTTTACATATTTATTTAATGTAACTAAACAGATAATTAAAAAATCATCATAATATTTATTTCTTAAAAGCTTTTTATTGTTGGTGTTCTGTTTCTGGTACGGTACTCATTGACCATATAGCTAAACCAGCATTTCATCTTGGTTTTAATAAACTATAGTGATTTAGGGATTTGTGTTTAAGACAAAACAGCACATTTTTCAAGTTTTGCTTCAAATGATTTCACATAAAACATTGCTTTCTTCACGTGAGAATTATCTGACATACACAAAAACCACTATTAAAACGTTATATAGCAGAAGTTTGCCGTTTCCTCAGATATTTTTTCTTCATTCCTGAGGTTAAATGTGCCTATAAGAGAAATGGGTAGTTATCTTAACAGAAGACAAATAAACAACTTAACCAGCTTCTTAAATAGTTATTGTCAAACATTTCCTTTATAATCCGGGATATATACCGGTATCGGTAGATTTAAATATATACGGAATGCGTGCCGTGTGTTCCAAAGATATGTCGAACAGTGTATCAACAAATAGTTACAAAATACTTACATATTTAATTCATGAATCTTCTCATTCAGCTGCTGTTTCACGGAAGCAAACTCGCTTTTAACAAGTGCCAGGTTTGTCTGGGTATCTGTCAATTCACTTTTTAATTGTCTATTTGCAAATGTCATTTCCTCAACCTTACCCTTTAAATGTAATAATTGTTCTTCTATTTCTTTGTTCTTAGCCTCTGGTCCGTCCTAAATGTATGAATGTTAATTATCAATAAAATATAATTGAAGAATAACAAATTAATATATCTAACTAATGTATTACTACATCGATTTACTTTTTATTTACCTTTAGTGCAGGCTGGCCTGGCTCTATAAGGGTCATCACTTCCGGTTATAGAACGTTAAGGATTAAAGAAGGAATTCAAATACTAGAGCTACACAAACGTTCAAATTTCAAACTAACAAATTAATGTGAAAGGTCCTTCTCCTATGCCTTTCGTCTTTGGTGCCCTTTCGAAAATATTACCATGTATTTATTGGCCATATGGATAAAGCATATTTTGATTCCTTTGCTTTTTATGCAATCAGTTCAATTATAGTGTCATAGTATTTTGTATGGATGTCAAAATTTCATATTTTTATTTTGTTACTTTTATGATAATTATTTCATGTTTATAATACTTTCTTTAGGTAATATTTATATATTTTTATCCATTATTTAACCATTTTAAAGTACATATCTGCACATTCTAACAATTGTATTCACTTGTGAGGCTTAATGTGCCTGTCAGCTTTTGTCGTAATTGGAGAATCTAAAATCAGTTGATATAATTTATATATCACTTTTGAGCGAATTGTCTCTAACACGTTTGTCGATTGATAAAAATTATATTGATGTAGTTGTTATACAGTATGGGAGACTTAATTATTTCAAAATACCTTTTCAGTAGTAAACGGTATTATACTAATTAAACTAACATATTGGACGACGAAATAAGGTGGCGTTAAACCGAGCAACTATCATTCAGAGAGAGTGACCTTTGATTTATATATAGTGGTATAATTATAATTGTAACAACCTGTTGTAAGCGTTTTAAGTTTTGTTGTAGCATGTTTATCTCCTCTTGTACCTTCCCCCTCATTTCTGCTTTCTCTCCTTCCTTCTTTTCTTCCTCCTGTACAATATACATGTACTGTATTTAACATGTACTGTATTTAACATGTACACTAAATGGAAAATATATAGCAAATTTAAGAAAATCATTTTGACATGTATAACAAAATTGTGGATAAAAATAGTAAAATGAAAGTATTCACCATCTTTCATGACTTTTCAATAAGATTTGTAAAGATAAAAGTGAAATAAACACAATAAAATGCTTTACGGTATAAAATACAAGTACTTTTAAAATATATATGGTAAGATTTCATAAGTGATATATTCTAAATGTCAAATAGACATATTCTAGATATCACATTGATATTTTATAGGTATAACTGATGTTTTCTAAATATTTCAGTGATATTCTAAGTGTCACATTGATATATTCTAGATTGTACTGTTATATATTCAAAATAAAGTTGTATTATCTTAATATCAATGTATTTTCTAACAATAAATGTGATACCAAAGTGATAAGTATTTTAAGAATCACAATATTCTAAATATCAAAGTGAAATATTCATAATATCACGACGGTATCGGGAGACATAGACACTTTAGCATTTCTATTTATATCTTTTTACCCTTTTTATCACATAAAACGCGGCGCGGGAGTGTAATAAATCCATTTAATAATCAAAGGGCTGCAAGCTCTGTGGTATTTTCTGATCTTTGCAAACTAAATCGTAATGTATATCTGTATGTGTTTTCCTGTATAAGTTTATTTTTATGTACTATTATTCATCTTGCAGGGTACCAGAGTTTGATACATACGGAATTTTGCAAAACTAGAGTTGCATCAAAAAATCATTTATGTTCATTTTTTATGATAGCCACACTTTATCTTTGCATATCGTGGCTATTTCCTTAACAAAGACACTAAAAAAAGAATTTTAAAAAATGTTGACTCGACTGGGATTTGAACTCCAGACCTCACACACTAAACGAGCGCGTTACCCCTGCACCACGGAGAAGCTTTACAAACAAAGGCTGAATAAAATCAAGTCATTCTAAATTTAGAATTTCCATTGCATTTCGGGTTTATTACTTTCGAGGTATTTTGTTCAGGGTAAACCTGCTGTAGTTTAAAATTGAAGTAAATAATTTAGCATAAATCTTCTCGCCCAAACAGTCCAACATGTAGAGACTATATATTCAACTACTCGGCAGTCAGATTTATTTGTGTAGTATTCGGTAATCGACATCGCTAAAAATAGCATTTTCATTGATTAAAGTCATATTCATCCGCGTAATTTGTGAGTGTGCATTTATTGACAATTCTATAAGCCAACGCTACTTTTAAAGTTTGAATGTGTAGTAATTTGTTGGATACTTGTAACAAAAAAATGCTCTTTCTTCTAAATTGCTGGTTTTTAAGCAGTTTTGAGTGAGAACTACTTTGCGTTGTTAGGTCTGTTAGGAAATTTTGTGTTAGACCGTGGATGCTAGCTATGTATTTACTGATCTGCGATCAGAAAATACAAAAACGATATTACACTAGTGTAATAACACTTTGACGTGACGTCATTTGCGCTATATAGAAACATAGCGCTAAAGCGCGCTAATGTTAGCGTTACACTATGGACTCGTCATTGAAAAATTACTCATTTTAACAGTTCACTGTTCTTATTTTATATATGTGATAAATAGAATATTATATTCGTGTAGATTCAATACTAAATTTATTGAACTCGTTGAATAAAACAATATTATGCTCGCCATAGGCTCGCATAATATGATTTTATTAAACTCGTTCAATAAATTTAGTATTAAACTACACTCATTCAATATCCTCTATATAGTTAGGGATTGCGGGGTTTATATATTTATATACGTACACGTTTTCTGACTCTCTCCTCCACTCGTTGAACTTGTAACTCCATCTCCTCCTCCATCTGACGCATATGTCGATCATGTTGTTCTTTCTCTCTGAAAATCACGTCAAATATACCTTCATATATCAGTACAATTAAACAATCGGAAAGGTTTATGTTTTCATAAGAAAAAATAAAAAGCATTGTTTTTTATTGTTGACATTACCATTAAATAGATATGTAGTTTTTCTCGTAACTTGTTATGATTGAAACTTTGATTTATATGGCTTATTCATAGCTTCACTATATGTATATTTAACAACTTGTCTCTTTCCATTCCCTTTCACTCCGGAAAATGAATAGAAATAGAAAATTTGAATTATGCCTGAAAGGTCTCGGACAAATTACACTGCAAATTCTACGGCAAAATGTAAAAAAGGAGATAAATAAGTTCAATACTTTATCCAAATTGCGTTCAAATTTTCAAAATTTGCCAATGTACTAGCTGGTGAAGGATATTTTGGATGAAGATACTTCGTATTCATACCTTTTAAATGATTTTTCAAGCCTGTCATTTTCCACCTGTTGTTGCCTGAGATCTTTAAGGATACCTAGTATGACAGATTCATAAGTCTCTAGTAGCTCAGGGTTACCAGCATGATGCAGTTGTTGGTATAATTCACACACCTGCTCTTGACTGTAACATAACAATACAAGACATCATTGAAAATATATTTGGAAATTACTTCATCATTAAAGATACATTATGCTCATCTCTGAGTAAAATATATTTATTGCAGAAATTTATCGAAATGTACTGCCTGTTTTCTTAATGACACTTAATATTCACAATGTGTCCAATTATAGTGTGTAGTGTTAAAAACATAGTATATCTACTAAACATGTTTATTATATATTTACATAGAGACCGTGTAGCAATTATCAATATATTTGATCATAGTACTCGTAGTACAGTTCTATATTTCATATTGGTGTATATCAAACGGGTGTTATTTACAAACAAGCTCACTTTAAATAATTTTTGGAACGACTTAAACGCTATATAACCCTGAAAACGTTAAATACGGGCGCTTTCTACATTAAAGGCCCCCATTTTACCTGAGAAATGTTTTATTTCTATTTTTTGCTCAAAAGCTTTTATTTTTGGTGTACTTTTATTATGTTTTATAGTTTCCAAAACGATACTCATTGGCCAATTACCTAAACCATCTTGTTATTCTGTCGCTTTTTTGGCAATTGGTACAGTTAAAGTGATTTAGTATTTTGTATCTGAGTAAAAATACTAAATTCCTACTTTGTTTATATTACCCTAAGCGACATGCTCTAAACCATTATTGAAATAGTATAAAACTTATGTTTGCCCTTTTAAAAAAAAATCTGTGCCTTTAAATTTTTGTGCAGGTGTACATAGTAACAAGCGATACTATGTAATATGTGAATTAACATTTTGTATTTTCCAAACTTTGTCAAACCGGATGTACCGGATCTTATTTCATATGAATGTGTTCGTTCTGGTTGACAGTTATGAACATATTTGTGTATATAAGTGGTAGGTTTTTAAGGTTTTTTCCTTTCATTCAGACTTTGTTAGACAATACATATGTAATGAACACATTTGTTATTGAAACTACGAAAGCGGTAGGCTTTGTCAGACAAGAAATATATTTACTATATCATACGCTCAACAAATTTGAAATATGCAATAAAGAAGATAATAACGGAGAAAGTTTCTCAAAAAGGCTTTTTAATATTCCTGCTTAATCCGTACAATTTATCATTTGTGAATTATCATGCAAATGAAATGTTTATGAATAAAATATTGTTTAAAAACTAAACTGTGGTAATGAATCGTATATATCTTATGTAAAACATACTAATAAATAAACAATAAGACCATGGATTAAATTGAATTATTAGAAAACGATCTATAACTGATAATAATAGTTTAGATATATGAGCATATCATTTACGTTTAACTATGTAGGAGAAATAAATAATGCATTACAGGATAAGCATTAATTAATTGACAAAAAAGAAGAAATGAAATAAACAAAAAGGTCACATAGAATATTCTTGTTTATAACATAGATAATTGATTAAACACCATGTACATCATTCATATATGGTATATCTTTATATTTAGAACAAATAACACAAAATACAGACGTCCTGTCGCGTGAGAACACCTTACATATACATGTAATTCTCAATTTTTTGATACAATGAAACCATGAGGAAAAAAAAAAGAAATCAGTCATTGCTCTGTTCAAGAATCAGGAAAAAAATGTGTATTCGGATAGGTAACTCGGTTAGTAGAGCAGTAAAACGCTCAGTTGTGAGGCTCCCGGGCTAGGGACCAAGTCGAGCTTCATATTTTCATTTTGGGAGTTTTAGATTGGCACGTTAACATACAATAAAGGTGTGCCGGATGAAGTGAAGATTTATATAATGTTTTAATCTTTATAGAACATCCTACTTGTTTACGTATTGAAGATTGGCAAGAAACTTTAATGATAAATAATATAAAAATCGATTTCAAATGTGATTACAATTATTCTTTAGATAACCAATATAAATTATTTAAATGAAGGTATGTATATTATTTATTACTGTTATAGCATTCCAAAATGCGGAATATAAAAATAAATGCGACAAATATATAAAAACGGTTAGATATTGATTTTTGATATCACATTTGCTGGCATGACTCATTTATGTTGGTTACACTATACAATGTGTTACTCCGTTTAATATAGGAAAGAACGACAGCTGCAGGCAAATGCTTTACAAAATGATGTTTTTATTTATTTTATATACTTTCGTATGATACGGTATTCAATATTAAGGATACGATTTTGCGATAATAATCTATTTGAATACTACAAATATATATGTCTTCACTATTAAGTCAATTTGATATTTGAGTTATTATGAGACTGTCAATAGTAGTACATATTGTAATGTTTGTTATCTTTGAATGCAAAAATACAATTGTATAATTGGTTTAGAACAGTATTCAGCAGAAAGTATGATCAATATTGTTCAATATTATAAAAGTGAAATTTATTTAACGTATGAAAGCAAAAGTAAAGTGATAAATGTCTCTGGTGATATATCTATAAATAGGTTATATGTATGAAGATTTACGCTGAATCAAACAATATTTTCTTTAAACTGATGAATGAATTTTCATCTGCGTTAACTTAGTACTATTCTTAAAATATTTTGATTTCTGCAGAATGTGTTGTCATGAATTACCCGTCTAACTTTAAGAACGGGACCGCTCAGGAAACTTCTGTTTGTTTGATGACAATTAAACATTGTCCTAGTGATCTGGATTTGTTGTATTTACTTGTACAAATGAGATATATTTACATCTACTTAGTTAAGTGAAGTTTCTTTCTCGTTTATCACCACAGTCATCAACAAACGAGTGATGTATTCATACGCTACAAATCAAATGAGAATGACAATTGATATTTGCCGACAGCAGGTATAGATCTGCAACATCCTTTTATTGTTATACAAAATTAGTCTGTCGATGTTATCAATGAGAGACATAAATGAGTCAAGTTTTATCCGAAAATGTGCACTGCACTTATATGACTCGCTAAAGTTGTACAAAATAGTATAATGTTAACGCTGCTTCCTCATTTAACAAAATAGTAAAATAGGAGTCCTTCAGAATAAAAATATTGCAACAGCTACGATTGATCAAGTAAATGGACGATATTGTCAAACATACTGCTTTCGTCCACCCCTCCCCCGCACCGGTTTGGACAGAAGTAATCAGTAGTTCATGGTATAACTGTAAATATTGAGATATCATCATTTGTGCTGAAATAACAGTTATCATGAAAATAGTCCTGAATTTGTTGCAAGCTCGGATTGAGTCTGTCATGAACGGCATTGTCAAATGCAATCTACCGCCCATTCCTAAATAGCACCGGTTGAAGCAGAATACAACATTTACACATGAAATAGAATTTAGAAATATTCATAAATATTTGCATATTTTAATTATCATGGAACCTTCAATGTTATACATTTTTTGTAATTCTATAAAAATGGTGTATGACCCCCGATACAAAAAATGCTAGTCTTTCAAATAAGGAAAACAAAAGGGAATTTTAGGGTAGAGATCGCACATGAAAATAATGATAATTTGAAATCACAGTTGAAATAAAATGTCTTTACTGACATTAGGGTACTTTGCAATGTTGATGACAATTGATGGGAATCTCAAAGAGAGGAGCTAAAGCATATAACTAGTATAGTATATATACTATATGTATACTATATAGTATTGTTTATAGATGATAGAAAGATTTGGGTTCATCATTACATGATTTACATTACTGTATTTAAAAAAAAAACTGAGTGAAAGATGCATATTTTGCGGATGTTCAGCTGAATGCACATCAAACAATGAAATTATTAAACAGTGCTAGTATTTTTATCTTATGGTTAGAGTCAATCCATCTGTTTTCAAATTTCATGATTTACTTTCTTCTTCAAATAAAAACTATATTGTTAACTTGTGCAAATATATGAAAGAGGCATTTGTTATCGAAGTAACTATAATCCATATAATGCTCATAATTCTATATATTCTGACTGTGCAAGTTTAATATCCTTTAAGACATGGGTAACTACTCGATCGAACGCGTCCGAAAACAAATACCAACACAGTTGCACGAACAAGACCTTTTCAAAACGAGAATGCCTTTTCATCTATTATTAATGATCTGCCGCATATCAGTGCTAATAGAAAATCCATGTTTTCTAAAACCTTGCAATTCGTTTTTACATTGAATTTTAGTTAAAGAGTTGTAAAGGATAGTGCCCTAATCTCACAATGCATTAACATTCTTTATAGTTCCAATTTAACTGCTTACAATTTTAGTCATATATCTTAACGCAAGTCAACTTAAAACAGCATTAAATGTTTTCGATGTTTAACTTTATCTTTTTAATTTGATATCTATATTTATGTGCATTATGTAAACTGTACGGACGTTTGATGTATCATAAATCGAATATATGCAAATTACAATTTTTGTACAGGAGGTATTTATCACATAGCGTTGTCAGTTTTATATTAGTAATAATGGCAAAACATTTGAAATAACAATTCGTAGGACAGAAGTGTTTATTAAATATTTGGACTGAATGTTATATATCAACCGGACATTTCAGCTTTAACATATATGTATACTGTTAATTTGGCTAAATGTATTATTTTAGTATTTTAATCATATAGTTTTTAAAAGAAGTTTTTTGGAAGCTGAAAATCCTAAAATCTTGTTGAAATATTGTATTGGTTATAATGTTAGTTTATTTCTCCAAACTTGCAATGGCTAAATACAATTCGATAGCTTGCTGTTGATGAAAGATGTATCAAATGATTTGGCTAATGAATAATGAGAATAGTGTTTGAATGTAGTATTAATGTAGTATGAATGTAGTATTATTCAACTTAGATGTATGGTAATGACACAGAATACTAAACACAATAAAAAATATGTATATACAGGTTTATATTCGATGCTCTACTTCAATAGATTTACAAGTTTGATAATCTTCAAATATTATTATAAATAGTTTAATATATTATTTGAACAGGTGGACTTGCCAAAATCGGCAACTAATAAGTCGTATGAAGTATTAATCTGGATAGAAAATGCTGAATTTTTGTCCTAAAATGGGAATTAAATAACTTGTTCGTTTGTGTATAGAATGTATGCCTTGAAGACGTTTCTGAAATTATTTATGGCTGTTTTGACTTTGATACCAAGCACATTGTACATGGTATTTGTGTACAAGTATTTGTATATATTAAACTGTCAGTAGGTAGTTGTTCATAAGCAGACGATAATACTGGTGTAGTAACATTACAGATATATCTATATTTCAATAAGAAAGCAATAGTGATGATGCATCTATGTAAAGTAATCCAACACCCGGATGTTATGTTGTAATGTCAAACAGCCCACACAGGTTAGAAACAATGATTTAAAAAAAGATAAAGCAAACAATACATGCAATATAAATCAAGAAATACCACGATAAAAATACCATTTGTACCTTTTTTTCAAATAATTTCTTCACTGTCCCTTTTATGATGGATTACACGTCCATAGCAGATAAAAATGCCTTGTCCTGTGTTATTAATTTTTACACGATATTGTGCATTCGTAAATCAAATGCATCATTTTTACACACATTTTACGCATAAAATGGTGGTTTTACCGTGGTAACATGCACAAATACTTATCTATTACCCACCAGTAAGAGTCCAGCCTAGAAAGCTCATCACCAAGCTCTGATAAAGCATCCACTTCACTCGGACATCTTTCAAACACAAGCTGATTTCTCCTCTGCGCTTTCTGACGCAACTCTGACGATGAAATATATCCATCTTCGTCACTGTCTAGAGCTGCGAAAATTATGTCTAGTTCTTCTTCAGTTAAATTGAGATCTTTTGAAATTTTTGATAACGACTTTCGCGTTATTCTTATTTCCGGTGCGTCATTTCCGTTCGTGTCGTCTGCAGTTATAAGTTCCAATAGCTTTGTTGCGTCTAATTCAATTGAATTCTGAGAAGCTAGACTCAGTTTTCGAGTATTTTTGAATGATCTTCTGTCGACTGACATGCTCAAAGTTTAGTTTAATGAACACATGATCCTAGTTTTACACCAAATAACTTGTATTTTCTCCCTATTGTTCAAGATTCAAACTATCTTCATTTAATTTTCTTTGCCACCATCTGTTACTGTCATTCGATACATTATAAGTTTATTAACAAGTTATTATTTTTGTTAAACATGTGTATGCATCAACTTAATTTAAAATGATATCCAATAACTTGATTGTAAACTTTAAGAGATTTATGATGTTAAAAGTATCACTGCAATTCTTTGCTATCTTTGAAAGTAGTCTGTAAACTTAAACCGAGCAACCAGTTACATTTCTATTTACTTTTCATAATCTTCGTGAAATTTCGTAATATTTATAAAGAAAATATATGCATCAAAACTTACGACATCCCACTCTTAGCTTTTAATAATATTAAATAAATAACTTTTTTCTACATTTTTACACTGTTGTGTAAGTGAACAACAAATGTGAAATCTTGTTTAAGCTGTTGAACCTAAATAGTTATAATTAACCTTATCCACTAGAAAAAATACGAATTCCCTTACTCCATCAAGTTTTAAGTCGGATATTCTGTTCGTTAGACTTTATTTGAAATACAACCTTCGGTTACAAACCAGTGAAGTACTGTAAATGTATAGGCAAGAAAGAACAAGTGGGCTGAATTTCAAGTGTTATAAACTATAGACAATTTTATTATAGTGGCAATAGAAATTTGTGGGTTTTATCAGGGCTAATCTGATTTAAAATCAACCTTTCCTTTTCTACTTGCAACATGATTAAATTTTAATGTCGGATTAAATGTCATAAGTTAGATCCTTATATTGTGCCCGTTATTTTTATATATCATTTTATAGATAAAATCGAGATTTATCAATCGATTGTCAGTTAATTAAACTTTTGAAAATAAAAGTACGACCGGTTTTTGGCATTTTGAAAAAGAAGAATCAAATTGCAAAGTTAATCACTTTTAGATATTTTACAGGAAAATGCATTATTTCTTTAATTAAAAATGAAAACCTAATCAAAAGCGCTTTAAACTGAACATATCAAAATTAAATGAAAATTCCTTTCCTCTAACATTATTAGTTATAAATAAATTATATAATAAACATTCAATATAATTTCCTATCCAATTGCAATACCGGTATATTCATATACATTATGAATAAATCATCGCACGCTTTATTGCCTCTAACTTACCGGAAGGAGCACATGATAGCCAACAATATCAATTTATTTTGAATTATCAATCAAACTTGCAAGCACAAACGAGCATACATGCTCATTATAATCCACATGTGTTTTGCTTATACGGTATATGAAGAGAAAAAAGAACAAATATTCCTAATGGCAAATATGTCAACGATCGAACAAGATTAACCATTTAATCTTAAGATATATTTGTATGTGTAAATCTCCATCAACTTTGTGTTTTATGTCCGAAGCTTAAAGTAAGTAACACACATTTCACCATCCACATATCAACATTCAAGTGTATTTTATTCCATTAGCATAAATACAAAATGTGCATATTGAGTACTTAAAATGTATAAGTAAACAGCAAATATTTGTCATTTTCTAAATATAAAGTAAACGTGAAGTTTAAAGTCTTCGCTTCAATAAATTTCGATGTTAAGTATTGTAGACAGGTGTACTTATACCCCGGTTTGCAAAAAGTAGTGATTTGATTTTATGATCCAATGGAAATTACATCAAATAATAACCATAATAAACTATAAAATTCACATTTACAACCCTATTATAAACTTTTAGCATTTCTCCCTCAAAAGGAAACAGGATATTTGATTAAATGTAGGTTTGTTTAATGATTCTATTTCTGTAATTTTAATATTTGTGATTATACTAGTTTTATGTGTGTAATATAACATTTTAATATGTAAATGTTAAGTTAGTAAATATTAATTTGGTTATATCGCAAAGTAAATTTTATCCCTTTGCTTACTTTGTCTGCATCAGTATTTTTGAATACTTTGGTTTAATTTATTTCACAATTGATCGTGTTTATATACCTCATTCTCACGCAAACTTAGTGTAGTTTATCCTTAACCTGCTGGGGTCAACAGATTGTTTCCATGCAAGCAGAAGATGATCAGCGGTCAAACCATAGTCGGAACTATTCACCATTCAGTCAGTAGTTATAACGAAATTTTCCCCCAAAAATGTTGAAACGTTTCCTCCAGCATGAAAGACGAACAATTCCATTAAGATATTTAATGTTGAAAGGCTAAATATTTTTTCTTCGAAGAATTTCACTTACCCTCACTCACCCACACACACACCTCTCCCGTTGCGTTACTAATTGCTTTTCAAATATAACCCATTATTAGCTCACTCTGATTAAAAATAGACAAGTTTTTGTTAGATTTGTATATCTCTATACTTGTGTCACGATTAACTTTAAAAATACTACATGCGACAATTAAAAGTTTAACTCGACTATAATTAACATATCATTTCATGTGCGAAGGCAACAATGTAACGTTAAAATTGATGAAATATAAACTGCAATGACGTGTTCTAGTTTGTCAAAAACAATTTATATGTATATAGATAATTATTTTTGTTAAATTTCATTTCAAATAAGAAACATTGTTTAACAATTAGGACAATTATGTGGTGCTGTAGTTGTTAATATAATTACTTAGATAGTCCATATCATTATTATAAAAAAGATACACAATGTAAATACTGAAGCACGAAACTTGCTGGCGTCTTGAATGTCTTAAAATAGTTATTGTTAATAAATAAGAGAGTTAAGTCATCGGTATATGCTGGTCACAATTTTCTCTACATAATTGTGGAATTTTAAAATTATTAAAGTTTTATCACAACATTATTAACATGGGCAACGGTTGTACGTTAGTCATTTGATCGTGTTATTTCTTGAACTGTTGTGCTCATTGCTGTGTTGTGCTTTTTTAGTTAGTTAGGTTAGAATTATGTCAGATTTTCTCATCCTTTGCTGTTTTAAAAACATCATAGAGTTATTAAGAGTAATTACTGATATTAAAGTCTTTGCCTAGACGAAATACAAGAAATTATAGGACACACATGTTTGTATGGATGGCGACGGCTGGATGTGGATAGGAGGGGCAGGGGTATATAATACGTATAACTTTAATAATAAAATCTGTTACTAGAGTATTACCCCCCCCCCCCCCAAAAAAAATGCCCTAAACAAAGACACAAGAATAACACGTACGTATGGTGCCCGACATGCTGTTAATGCGATTATGGACTTTGCAGAGTTCTTTATCAAGTTAATGATTCGTTAAATTGTTATGATTTTAGAAGATTCGTGTATATACCTGATGTGCTTGAATGATTACACTAAACGTATACTGTTTATATGCTTGAAATAGATCTCTCGACGACAACAACAAAAATAGACCGTAGACTCGATTTGATAGATAATGAAAAGGGCAATATTTGTAATGCCCCAAAGCACCAGCTTAAGCCAAACTGAAATCAATGATCCAGAAAGACCACGTACGGGATTATCAAAAATACGTTTGGATTTATTGTCTGTCGTATTTCCCAGTGAGAAGATAACAGTTGAGTATGGTTTCACGAGGGTCGTGTAGTGCTTGCTATAGATGGCGTATGTGTATATGAAAGCATTCCTTTAATTATACAAAAGTTTAAATCAAGTGAAGATAAGTGTACTTAACATGTACATACAGGATGCGCTATAATTTTCTTTCAAGAGCGGAAGCAGCGGTTTAGTAATTATACTATATGACTACAAATTCGCGGGCCGCGAGTTCAATCTTCAGCTACTTCAACTAAAATCACTGACAAGTCTTTTAGATAGCACTTTTAAAAAGGTCCAAGGTATTGGTGCACACCTTTCACATAAAATGCAGTTAATCCTGATTCTAGAAAAATGCATAACAATTTCAAAAATACCGGCTTTATCAAAACTTTAGTCTGTTGTGATACAGACTTTAACACACTTAAATAATTCTAAAAAGAAGTAACAATAGTGACATTGTAATTTCAATTAAGTTATAAATATCACCCTTTGGCAAAATTTAGTTATTGATCAATATATTTAAAATATACATTTGTACACAGCGAGCAAGTAAACAATCGTAAATATAACATGTGTTTTTCTTTCATTTTTTTTTTAAATAAACATTCAAATGCATAATATCTAAAACCTGGTAAAGCATATCATTTTGCTGTAAATATTCACCTGTTAAAAAGACGAAAAGAAGTTCATGTAAAATTTCATCCCAAAATATAGGTTACTATTCACCCCATGCAGATTCCTCCACCTTTTATAAATGTCACGAGACTCACCAACTTAACGTCTGTAATCCCTCGTCTAAGTCACCTATAAACTCTTCTAATGACACTTCGTCAAGAGAATTAGCACTCTGAATTCGAGACCTTCTTCTCTCTTTTAGTGTCTCGCTGATTTCTTTAAATCCGTGTGAAAATTCCTCCTTTCCGATTTTCCCGTCGCCGTCTTTGTCAAGCGCCTGAAACACGCTTTTTATCTCCTCTCTGGTGAGTTCCGGACAAATATTGGAAAGTTCCGCTTCATCGATGTAGCCCGAACCATCCAAATCACAGGCGCGAAATAACGAGGAGACCGATCCGGACCTGTCCATCTTTATAATAACAACTTAAAACGTACGATATTTGAATCACGTTTGCTCATCCATTGTTTTACACTGTGTAGGATGCACAATGAAATCTTCGATTGTTTAAGAAATATCCTGAAAAATAGGTAGAATTGTAAATCTGATTTCTCCGCGTAGGCTTTAGCTTGTCTGTTATTTTAATTAAACATAAGACACGTAAGGAATGTGCGTTACAATATATACAATAATGTGTCATTTGGAGTAACATCTGGATATCGACCAGCTTGGAATAAATATCGCCACTTACATTGCAAATATGAACATTTCTGTTAAAATAGTTTTTGGAAGTCATGAATTAAATGTAAATTATAGTTCGATCTGATTAGAAATATTAAACAAGGGAACCATTGATAAAAATGCGCTCACCTGGCATAACCTTCTCTATAATTATGAGTAAGACACTTGGTTTTAGAAGCCAAGACCACTGTGATCTTGACCTTTGACCGAATGACCTCAAAATTTATAATGGTCATCTATACTAGTCATGAATAATCTCCGCCAGATCTTAGGACTGTAGACTCATGGTGTTAAAGAGAAGATTTTCTAACAAAAATGGAATTCCCATGAGCACCAGTGCAGGGCCAATGATAACCAAAGAGTCATCATTTCAACAACCGTAGGAGGCACATTTGATGATTATACATCTCTAGCCATTGGGGTTCTATTGGAGAAGATTTTTGAATATTTTCCGGGGCTGGGCCAACTTTGAACCATACTCTTCGGTTCCAGCAGTTTTAAAGTTAAATACATCTTCAAGTTTTATAAAACTCACATTACTCAGTTTGCATTTTGCCTGTATGTTTATAAATAATTATTGCATAGGCCTTTAATTAAACGATATCTAGATGAAATATTATAGAGCTTGATAAATAGAGGATATTCAAGTTTTTTCTATAAATACATGATTTATTTTCATCGAGTGGTATGAAAATAAATATTTCATGAGTGGCGGTAGCCACGAGTGAAATATGGTAATTTTCATGCCACAAGATGAAAATAAATCATGTATTTATAGAAAAAACTTGAATTTTCTGTTTATTATATACATTTTTCACTTTCTGGACATTAAAATTTGCAAGACTTTCCCTTAAATTTTGAGTACTGGCAGAATTTAAAAGAAAGTAGTCCGACAAGACACCAGTGAAAATACAGAAAATATGTTTCACTGCAGTGAAAAATAAATTTTTACAGTGAAAATACGGAAAATGAAAATACGCATTTTATTTCATCAATATTTCTCTATATTTCATTTCATTTTACAACATTGAGTGTAGTTATTGTTTAAGCTGATTTTCCCGGGTAGGCACTTTAAAAGGCTTTATCATTTTTTAAATTAAAACATACAACACCGTAATGTCGTTGCAAATCATTTTAAAATGAAGTTGGACATTTGGAAGTAAGCCAATCTGAATATCAAACCCAGCTTTGGGTTAATAAAACAATGTAACTTAACTTTGCAAATATGAAACATTTTATGTTGTGTTTTTCGGGCAAAATTTAAAGCGTGAATTATGGTTCGATCTTAAATGAAAAATATAAAACCAATGAAGCACAATTGAAAATCATAATTAATGGAATATCATGGTTTTTTTAATGAATAATGAACGTTTGATTAAACTTTTATAAATATAGTATTGAAGGTTTAGTGTAAGTACAAAAAAATGAAAAAGTTAAACTTTGGGTTTTTTTAAAGTTCGGGTGTAAAGAAAACTTTTAACTTATTTTTAACCACTCAGTAGTGTTGTTATATACATGTGCAAAAATGGCCGTACATACGCAACACCAGTAGGACTCGAACACATGATCCCTGGATTGAAATGTAGTCACCTTAAATCCTAGACCATTGAATGGCATTGAATATTTTGCAAGTGGACGTGGAACATGCTAAACAGATATCATAAATATACCAAGAGCACCGCATGCGGAGCTCGTCTGTCAAAAATCTTAACTTAAAAAGGGGCATAACTAATAAATATTCAGAACAACTTAACCTTGTTATGATAAGCAATTATTCCAAGTTTCATGTCAATGTTTTGAGCAATAGGCTACAATAAAGTTTTTCCCGATGACGACAACGACGTGCAGCGATCATACTAGCTCGACTTTTTCTTAGAAACAG